GTGATAGACCAAAATGATAATAAGCCTTACTTTACTCAAAATCCTTTTAATGGAAGTGTTCCTGAAGCTGCTGAAAAGGGTAGTTGGATGATGCAGTTTTACTTTAATCATTCATATGCAGGGATGGGCTTTTTGCAGAAATTTAAAAATATATGCTTTGCCAGCTGCAACCCATCACTGGGAAATATCCATACACACTCATTCACAGACATAGACTAAAGACAGTTTAGCCTACCCAATTGACCTACAGCAGTGGTTCCCAAACTTTTTGTTGTGTGCACCCCTTTCTAATATTTGACACCTGTCAAGCACCCCTTTCTCCGATTAAACTGTATTTTTAACTAAATACACATATTTTCTGTATAGGTGATTAAAATAAAAATAATAAAATTTGTGAATATAATAGACAAGCTTTTATGAAATTGACCATTTTCACAGCGTCATTAAGTACAGACAAAAGTTCATCTGGCATGTTTTTCATCACTAGAGCTTCTTGGTGGATGCTGTAGTGTACGCAGGAAATCGATTTTCCTTGGGAAAAAAAAAACCTACAGGCATGTTTTTTAAGTGCTCCCACCAAAAAAAAGTTAATAGCTAATTTTTAGCCACATACAGTATTTTAAATAATGTGTCAAAAGCCAAACGTAGTTGCAATACCTACCCTTTTTATTTAGCATAACTTTTTTTAATACAACTGACACTTTAAAAAATAAAATTGTGATGTAACTAAATTTGATTTTGTGTGTGTATTTATTCCACCGGTCAAAAGTTTGGGGACATTTTTATTCATTTTTTTCATATTTTTTAAGGAAAAGTATTCAGTTCATCAAGGCAACATTTATTAAATTAAAAATGTTAAATTGTTAAATATTTATTGAAATGTTAACTGCTTTTTTGGGCGTCACTGTGGCACAGTAGGTAGTGCTGTCGCCTCACAGCAAGAAGGTTGCTGGGTCGCTGGTTCGAACCTCGGCTCAGTTGGTTTTTCTGTGTGGAGTTTGCATGTTCTCCCTGCGTTCACATGGGTTTCCTCCAGTTTTCCCCACAGTGCAAATACATGCGCTACAGGGGAATTGGGTAGGCTAAATTGTCCGTAGTGTATGAGTGTGTGTGTGAATGAGTGTGTGTGTGTGGATGTTTCCCAGAGATGGGTTGCGGCTGTAAGGGCATCCGCTGCGTAAAAACGTGCTGGATAAGTTGGTGGCTCATTCCTCTGTGGCGACCCCTGATTATTAAAGAGACTAAGCTGAAAAGAAAATGAATGAATAAATAACTGCTTTCTTATTGTGTGTAGTTCTAGATAAAATTATTACTCCAGTCATTATTGCTTTTATTACTATTACCATAAATAATAATAATAATAATAATAACAACAACAACAATAGTTAATTTATAGTGATTTCTGAAGTATCATTTGACTCTGAAGACTGGAGTAATGTAGTTGATAATTCATCTTTAAAATCACTGGAATAAATTATTAAATTAAATGAAAAACTACTTTTGAACAGTTATTTTATAGTGCAATAACATTTTACAATTTTACAATGTATGCTGTATTTATGAAGTGTTTAAGACGGTCACAGCCACTGATGCAGATGATAAAGAGAATACTGATCATGCTGATATCAATTATGCCATTATTAGCCAAGATCCACCATCTCCAAAACTAAACATGTTTGCTATCAATCCTGTAAGTGGAGGGATTTCTTTGCTAGAAAAAGGCCTGGACAGAGAGGTGACAAATGCTTTTTGATTAGTCTTAGATTAAAGTGTATATAGATGATAAAATAGATTAACTAAATTGAGCAGATAAAATAGTTGTGCAATATTAGGTGAGAGAACATTTTGTCCTCTTTTTAGTGTGTTTGCAGCTACGTGCAGAAGTGCTTGTGGTTTTGTGTGTATATGTATTTGTGTGTCAGAAATATGAGGCCATGGTCTGGTTTCAGTCTTGCAGGTGTTAGAAATATGAGACCATGGTCTGGTTTCATTTCGCAGCTTCACCCACGCTGGAAAATTCCACTATGCTCAGATATGAAATATGCTGATTCATGTTAAGACAAAATGCTGTATGACTAGCCCATATTTGGAGTGCCTTTCTGCTATCAGCCCCTGTGTATAAATATCCCTGTCCATCCTGTGTTGTCAGGCTTGCAGAATAAACCATTCTAACTACAGTTTGGTCTCTTCTCATGTCTCCGGGTCGACCTGATGAACTTTGCTGAATCTGGTGCCTAATATAGGGGAAATCTTACAGATCTGGGGGCTCGTCCGGGATACATCTGACCAGGTAAGAGAATTTTTTATTCACACTGCCTGCTCCGGTGTATCTCAGGAAATCGTAAGATTTTAGTTAAAATTAGGTAAGAGAGGTCTGTGTTCTAGAGCACAGAACATCCTGTCAAGTTTACTTTCCACAGTAAATTGCACAGAAGGATTTGTGTCGTCGTACTCAATTAAATTTGGGTTCCACAAATCAGGAAAATTTATTAATTTGACACTTGCTAGCCTGTCAAGTTTACTTCAAACAGTAAATTGCACAGAAGGATTTGTGTTGTTGTACCCGATTAAATTTGGGTTCCACAAATCAGGGGTTTAATAAATTTTAGTAAATAAGTATTACGCACCAGCTTCAGCAATATGGGACAAGGATATCCAAAACCAGAACCCAGTGAGAGTCCAAAGCAATGGATGGATAGATGTGGGTGGGGATTTTACACTGAACCCTGGCTGTCCAATTTAGGTGGGTGGACAGAGGGACAATCTCAATGGAGAGACTTTCCTAGGGAAGGAACATTTGACCCAGGTTTCCTTCAGTTAGCTTACAAATTGATATGGGGATCCAGAATGGAATGACCAATATATGATGAATGGATATGACACATGGTATAAAATGAGTTCTATATGAAGGGATAAAAAAAGGCATTTTTACACCCAAAACTGTTTTGAAATCTGTCCCCAAACCTAAAAGCAGAAGTAATACTGCCCTTACGGCAGATAAGAGAGGCTCTCTTGCAGCTGCTAAAACCACCATGACGTCACCACCCCCTTATACGGGGCCTTCGCAATCTATTTCATGCTCTGTCAGTGTTCCTCCTACAGTCCTACAGTGCCTTCTATTTATCCGTCTCTGACAGAAATGATTAAAACTAAACCAGACTCCCCTGACAGCACGAAGGGCACTACTTCAGCTTCTAATGTGGCTGCTGTGTGGGTTGCTAAACCACGAGGGATAGAGATAATTCCGCCCTCACCCTCTGTTCTTAAAGATCTCATATCTCTTCTGCCCGAAGTGGACAAACCACTGCAATTTGTAGACATGCTGTTGCGCAGCTCGCGTCACTGCCAACTAATTGGGGCAGATTATCGATTTATCCTTTAAACCAAAATGGGTTCGTCCTATGACGATGACGAAATGACAACAAAAATACCTGCTCTTGATCCCAAGCATGATATAGTACACACAGAGACAATTAAGGAAGAAATAGATGAGGGCAAAAAGACACGCACTCGTATAAAAACACGCCTCGCGTGGAAAGATGATCAGGAGGAGCTCCTAATACATCTAAAACAGCAGCTTACTAAATACTTAGTATCATACTTACTGGTCTGAATGTGACGCCACGACTGATCCTAATGGAATAATGCTAGATGGCAAAGGCCGTTTATGCCTGCCATCATCCTGTGCACCTTTTCTCGTCCGCGAGTTTCACGGTGTTACACACCGCGGCCGAAGAGGGGTAATAGACACAATGAGTTAATAGACACAATGAGTTAATAGACACAATGAGTTAATAGACACAATGAGTTCCTTTTTATGCATCAATAATTTACAGCACCATGTCAATAATACGCTAGATAGATGTCTGATATGTGCGCAAAACAATATCACTAAACCTCAAGCTAAACATCAACAATTGCCCCTTCCTGAAACACCTTTTCAGGAATGGCAGGTAGATTTCACACATCTGCCAAAGAGGGGTCCTAATAAATATCTACTGGTTTTTGTGGACAAATTTTCAAAATGGGTTGAAGCCTTCCCATGTGGTAAAGAAGACGCTAATACAGTTATCAGATGCTTGACAAGAGAAATCATTCCACGATATGGTATACCATGTGCCATAGACTCAGATAAGGGAACCTCATTTACTGCGAAAGTAATACAAAATCTAGCTAAACAACTCCAAATTAATTGGCAGCTACATATTCCCTACCATCCACAATCATCTGGTATAGTAGAACGAACTAATAGGACTATTAAGGACAAATTAAGAAAGGCTATGCAACATGCAGGGCACTCAAATTGGCTCGCCTTGCTACCTCTCGTTTTAGCAGACATGAGGATGTTTCCTCACAAAAGTCTTCACGGTCTCTCTCCTTATGAGACTGTGATGGGACGACCCTTTTCCTCACCATGGAGGCAAAGGGGTACCACACTGGGTGACGGTTCTTTGGATATTCATATGAGTGAATGTGCACAACAGCTACTAACAACATTGCATGCATACTGGACTAACATACATTCTGGTTCAGCCCCGATGCCGGTAGACCCAACACACCCATTTAAGGTTGGTGACAGAGTAATGATTAGACAGTTCAATAAAATGAGCACAGAACTGGGGGACCCCAAATATGGCCCCCCGACGGATGTCGTGGCTGTAACCAGAACCGCCGTTTTAACCTCCTCTTCTCCACAGTGGATCCATGCAACCAGGATAAAATGAGCACCTATTGAATAATAAAAATGTATAAGTTTTGTACTATGATAATCTGTCTGCAGACTCTCTTTGTTTTACAGATTTTGGGGGCCCCCACATCAGCTAGCACCTCCACGCAGCATAACTACTAGAAGGATAAGCATGAAGTGGCTATGGACATTGGGACTGTTTCTCTTTCTTGTTGCTCAAGCTAATGCAGCCAGGCTGAAACGCTGGACACATGATCATGAATTTGGATGGGCAGAGGATGGGGCTGACAATCCAATTGAAATAATATGTGGTATCAATATGTAAATGAGTTTTAGCTAGGTCATATAATGTATCTGGTTGTTATGTATGTTCTGTTATGCCTCATTCAGCCAAGCAAACCCCTCTTTATGCCAAACCCATGAATAAAACAGCTGCTAAATGTTCTGCCAGTTTTGCAGGATCAGGGTACCAGAATCCATATATAATTGTCGATGACTACGATCCATACCGGATTGGCATTAGAAATGGTACATGTGATGCTCTATTTTGGGTAAAATTTGGCCATGCTAAACCCTCACCTATTAGCCACAAGGTTTTTATTAACCACTCTATTACACACCCTGTGTGTTATAACCAGACCATGGGCTCTCATTTCATGGGAAGCACTGTTAACTGTCAACAAATTGCCTCCTCGGGAGAGGGGGCCCCAGTCGACATCTCAGGACCTTCAAACGGCACTTATGTGGTCCAGGGTGGGTGGTGGTTGTGTGGGAAAAACGCCTACATGTCCCTACCGGCCAACTGGACGGGGCAGTGTGCCCCTGTGCATGTGACTGATCACACTTTTATTGTGACAGCCCAGGTCCTGTCAGCGCAGCAAAGAGTTAAACGCAGTGTCCCTGAAATGAAGCCCCATGACTCTGCATGGGGTACTGACGTGCCCGAGGATTTTAAATTATGGACCACTGGTAACAAAGTGGTATTGGCTCTATTTCCGCAAATAGGTGTGGGAAAAGCTCTACTAAGAATTGAGACCCTGGACTATCGCATGGGCCTATTTCTGAATGCCTCAAAAATAATTAATGAGGCCCAGAATAAGGAGCTGGGTAATCTACGTACCATGGTTTTGCAAAATAGAATGGCTCTAGATCTCTTAACAGCATCCCAGGGGGGGTATGTAAATGAGTACTGCTATGTCTACTCTCCAAGGGTTAAAAACTGCTATGACTTCAGATTATGTTCCCGACACAACTTGGGGTTGGATGATGGGTCTGTTCGGCTGGGTGACTCCTTTCCTTACTATGATAATTCCTGTATGTATTATTTTCCTTCTTATTTGTTGCTGTGGCCCCTTTCTTTTACAATGTTTGATGAATCGTGTTTATGCTACCATGGATAGTATGATGGGCCAAAATTATAAACTAATGCATTAGGCCTTCGGCCTAAAAGAGGGGACTGAGAGAACATTTTGTCCTCTTTTTAGTGTGTTTGCAGCTACGTGCAGAAGTGCTTGTGGTTTTGTGTGTATATGTATTTGTGTGTCAGAAATATGAGGCCATGGTCTGGTTTCAGTCTTGCAGGTGTTAGAAATATGAGACCATGGTCTGGTTTCATTTCGCAGCTTCACCCACGCTGGAAAATTCCACTATGCTCAGATATGAAATATGCTGATTCATGTTAAGACAAAATGCTGTATGACTAGCCCATATTTGGAGTGCCTTTCTGCTATCAGCCCCTGTGTATAAATATCCCTGTCCATCCTGTGTTGTCAGGCTTGCAGAATAAACCATTCTAACTACAGTTTGGTCTCTTCTCATGTCTCCGGGTCGACCTGATGAACTTTGCTGAATCTGGTGCCTAATATAGGGGAAATCTTACATTAGGTAAGTGTTTGCAATTAATCTTAATGATAAAGTTCCTGAGGTAATGGATGTCCTCTTGTCAAATTTCAGACAAAGTGTGAAATTGTTAAAAGATTTCAACTCTGGGTATGATTCAAGTCTCGGCATGAAAGTAATTGAAAGTAAATTTCCCAGATGAGTGGGTGAGAGGCGACCATCTGCTTTCCTAATCCTACATTTGTGCAACAGCCCTCTGGTCTCATCTTGTTTTCGAGCACTCAGTTTGAAAACCGCATAAATCAATGTAATTCATGCATTGTACCTGAGCATTTTTTATTTTTGTATTTGATTAGCCATCAACAGATTTTTTTTGTATAAATGTATAAGTTTTATACCACATTTAGTTATGTTTTGTTGTATAATTAATTAAGTTAAATTAAATAATAATTAAATTAATAACTTATAAAGTCAATTTGATGTCTCACTAGATATACAGTTTTTTTTGTGAAAGGTTATTATTAGCTAATTTCAAGATTGCTTATGATTGCTTGCGAATGATTGCAAATTGAATTTTGGAAGTGAACTTTTGCTGTTGATTATGACGTTTCACGAGAACACAAGGATGCATTTTGGGCACAGGCCCAGGGGCCCATGCACACTTGGGGCCCCTGCGAGGGGGGGCAGAATGCAGATTTTGGAGTATCTATATAGGCTAAGTGCAAATAGCTCATCTCATGGGAATAAACTAGTTAAGCGGTTCACGCCCATTACCGTTTTTATTGACAGAGACAAAATAACTAAAGAGCACAATACAGCAGTGCAAGTGGCGGAGCTCATAAAGTGCATGGCAACATCTTTTGACGTGATCAATCATGAACCCAGTACGAATATAGTGTCTGATGAACTCATTCTTCTTTTTTTCCCCCACTACATATCAGATTTTGCAGACTCTTCATCAAGAGAAAGACAAGTAGAAATCATTAATAAGTGTGTGTATTATGTAGGAGTCATATGCAAGATTCATAGGACTGGATTGGAGAGGTTTCATTCATTTTCACTAGTTGTATTAGTATTTTTTCTAAGTATGCTATAAAAATGCTTTAAAAATAAGTTTGTAGACTAAAAATATATGTACTGTATTTAGTTTGTTTTAAAAAAATGTGAGCAATACAATACAGATTATTTTTTTTTTTTTAAATATTATATTACCGTATTTTCTAATTCATCTATAGGTGTGTGGCTAGGTAGGCTGTCTACAGGACATTGTGCCCATGGGCCTCTGAATTCTTAATCCGGGCCTTAAGATTGCTGAAGAATGCATATTAAGAAACAGCCACTATTTGTTCATTAGCTACTACAGCAGGAGAGATCTTGAGATCTACCTAAGCTCAAACTCCCCTCTTGTCTTGCAAACAAGGGGAGCCCGGGGCTCGAGGATCTTATGAGCTCAGGGCTCTCTCCCGCGACAGATTGCCAAACAAGCTTTATAATCAATTATCAACTAAGTGTGAACTCTTGAATTATATTTTTATTTATTTAATTGCAATCTTGATCTCTATTTAAAAAGAGGTGGGGAAAGTACTTAATGTTCTGTTAAAGCATTCTATATGTAGTTTCTAGATATTTTGTTGTGTTTTCACATACAAAAAAAAAAAAAAAGATTAGATTTTGGAGGATGAATTGAAAGTAAGTAAATAAGTCTTTAAAATATGGAACTTGAAAATGTTGGATGGTTGACTTGAACGTTTGTGCTCCCTAACAGAAAAAATATGCGTGCTCTAAAGGAAGCTCTATGCAAATATGTATTTGAAAGAATCAGTTTTTAGAATAAAGGGTTGCAGTCTTTCACATTGCAAGTATGTGCATGCACTTTATGTAATGGTGCAAAAATGTCTCAGCCCACAAGCAGCTCACAGTAAAGAATATAAATACCCCCAGTGAAGACATTTTAAACAACTGCAATAGCTGTGAACTCTGAACAACCAGTCAGAAAGTGATTTCTTAAAGAGCTTTCAAGACATTTTGTTTCAAACTGTGATGAGGATGACTGTGGGATTGGGAACCCTCTTTTTGATTTTCAAGGTAGGAGTCTATTTTCAGAAAAATTCTATACGTTTAATTTATAAGTGAGTTTGAAAATAAATGTGTAAATATTGAAATAAAATGTTAATTAAAATAGAAAAAAAAAATTTTCGCTCCTGTGAAATTAAACTTCAATAATATGTTTTTTAGAACATTTTCTTTTGCACTCAAAAAAAAAAAAAAAAAAAAAACATAGATGTTTAGAACCACTTGAGGGAGATTAAACAGTGAGTAAAATCTATTTATGACAAGTCAAAACACAACTGCTTAAAAAGTAAAGATGCTCCAGATGGTTTGTCAGTCTGTCTGTCTTTGAAATCAAATAATAATTTGGACATTCATCCTGTTAAAAGTTTTTTCAATCAATCAGTCAGTCAGTCAATCAGTCAGTCAGTCAGTCAGTCAGTCAGTCAGTCAGTCAATATAAGTCTTTTTGTGAGGTCTGTATAGTAAAGGGCTTGGAGACCCAAGGCACAGCAAGTGAGCGTGCTTTAAATGGTTTTAGTAATTAATTTTACACAGAAAAAGTTGCTCCAACTGCAATGAAAAGTGTCTGTCTGCCTGTCAAGCCAAGTCTGGGTTTGGCATTTACCAGAACAGTACTTCCTTGACTGCACCGTGTCAAGTGTAAAGTTGGAGGGGGATCAAGATGAAGTTGTTCGCAGGGGTTGGGCCTCCAGTAAAAAGAAGCTGTGATGCTTCAGCATGCATTACATTTTGAACAATTTTATGCTCCAACTGTTTGATGCTGTGAACAATTTGTGAATGCCCCCTTCATGCTCTAACATGATGGGCACCAGTGCACAAAGCAAACTCTATAAAGACATGGATGAGTAAGTTTGGTGTGGAGGAACTTGAAAAAAAAGTGACCAGAATTGATATTAATTAAAAAACAGTAAACTATAAAAGCACCATGTCAGTGTAAATGTTATATAAAACATCAAATTTGTTTAAATTTAGGTGTTGTCATATGGATTGGCAGAGAAGTCTCCATGTATAACTGGCTTTGAGTCAAATCTGCTGGTTTTTAAAGTTCACAAAGATCACCTTCACAAAGGAGAGAGACTCGGAAGAGGTAAGCGGTGTTCACCTGTCTATTTATACCAGAGAAGCAGCTAAACATTGAGCGGGTAATCAATGCAGACAAACACACATTTATATACATGCACTGTATCTGCTTTCACCAATATAAAAATGAGTGATGTCAATCAAGAAGCATTTTCTTGTCTTGTTTTCAAAAACAATATGCCAAAATGAAGTTTTCCTTAAAACAAGCAACACATTCTGCCAATGGGGTAAGTTCAATAATCTGACGTCAGAACAAAAATAAGATTATTTTGAATTATTTTTAACATTTGCTGAAAACCAGAATATTTTTACTTGTCTATAAAATGCTTCTTGATTTAGGAATTTTTTGTTATTTGTACTAGAAACAAGACAAAATATCTAAATAAGAAAATCATTTATTTGCAGAGCACAGCAAGCTGTTTTGTCAATTCTAATCTGAATCTGATCTGTTTTGTGGTTTTAATGAATCTGTTTTGTTGACAGTCGTTTTTAACACATGTGATGGAAGAACAGGAACAGATTTTCAGTCCACTGATCAGGAGATTGATCTGAACATGGATGGGACTTTGATGATGAGGAGGTCAGTGACTCTTCATGAAGGCCTCAAGGAGTTTTCAGTGTTTGCAAGGGACTCCAGTGGCAAGAAGCACATGGTCTCTGTCAGAGTTGAGCATGTCCGTTATCATGAGGATCATGACATGAATACTTTAATGAACACTTCCTCTGTACAGGTATAGATATTACTTCAAAAAACAAAAACAACACAAATATCATGATTTATCATTATTTAATTACAGAGAGAAATTGTCAGATGTTCCACTGATGTATGTGAAATATTATTATTATTATTATTATTATTATTATTATTGTTACTAATTTTTATATTATTGTTATAAATTATATATAAATAATAATAAAATAAAAATTTTGTATTTTGCTAAACACAACTGTTACGTCACTGTATCCTTTACTTTCTTTTGCAGATGGAATCTCCTTATGATGATCTGGTTCTGACATTTCCAAAGTCTTTAACAGGTTTAAAGAGATTAAAGAGAGGTTGGATTGTTCCTCCAATCAGTATTTCTGAGAATAGCAGAGGTCCGTTCCCAAAAAGGCTGGTCCAGGTCAGTGACATTTAGAAATGAACTGTGATGAAAATGACTTTGATGAGGAGATTTTTACTGTTTTCTGATGATTTTGAAAAAAAAAAAAAGTCTTGAAGAATATTTGTGTAAAAAGTTTCATGTCTTTCTGTATTTAGATAATGTCAGAATTTGCTTCTGAAACTAGGATGGCATACAAGGTCACAGGTGAAGGGGCAGATCTGGATCCTAAAGGGATTTTCCAAATAGATAGACTATCAGGGTGGATAAGTGTGACTCAGAAACTTGACAGGGAACAAAAAGCTTCATACAAAGTAAGTAATTATATATATATATATATATATATATATATATATATATATATATATATATATATATATATATATATATATATATATATATATATATATATATATATATATTTATTTATTTATTTATTATTATAATTTTTTTATTGGTCAAGTGGTTATTTTTAAAAAATAAAGAATACAATTAAATAAACATCTAACATTCATTTGTTTTCTCATGTCTTCAGCTTGTAGCTCATGCAACTGGAGTGGATGTGAATATTGCAAATAAGCCAATGGAAATTTATATAATCGTGACAGACCAAAATGATAATAAGCCTGTTTTTACTCAAAATCCATTTAAAGGACATGTTCCTGAAGCTGCTGGAAAAGGTAGGTGAATGGTGTAGTTTTTAATTAAATCACATTCTAATGCAGGGATGGGCTTTTCTCACATAAATATGCAATTCAGTGCGATGACCCTTTGTGAATTTTATTTCTGTTTATATTGTGTATAATTGTCACATCAAAGAAACCCTACATTAAGTTTAAGGCTCTGCTTACCTGAAAAACCTTTTGAGCATTATTATATCAAGGTTTAATGAATTAAAATGTAATCTAGTCACTTTTAGGGGCTTCCAAACCTTAATGAATTAGTTTTTTCAGATGAGCTCAGACAAATATATTTTGAAGGATGTTGGAAACGGGTGGCAATTGACATCCATAGTAGGAGGAAAAAAGGGCTATGGAAGTCAGTGAATAGCAGTTTCCAACATACTTCAAACTATATTTTGTGTTTAACAGAAGAAGAAAAAAACACCTACCAGCTTGGAATACAGTAGGTGTAGGATAAGTAATTTATGACAGAATTTTCAGTTTTGGGTGAACTTTGCCTTTAGTGACTTATTGACCCACAGTATGTTTTTACACCTATAAATAATTTGTGACATTAAAAGAGTGATTCTGTGGTATGGCTGGTCAAATACCTGCTAAATATTCTTTACTCTCTCACAAAAGGTGAAGTGTTTATGACGGTCACAGCCACTGATGCAGATGATAAAGAAAATACTGACAATGCTGATATCAGTTATGCCATTATCAGCCAAGATCCACCATCTCCAAAACCTAACATGTTTGCTATCAATCCTGTAAGTGGAGGGATTTCTATGCTGGAAACAGGCCTGGACAGAGAGGTGAGAAATGCTTTTTGATGAATCTCAACAGTTGTCAAGTTTATGCAAGCAAGCTCATCAGTCATCTTCATCTTTCAGCAATGGTCCAGTTATACTTTGGTTATTACGGCTACTGACATGAATGGAGAGGGTGGGTCAACCACTGGCACAGCAATTATTACTGTTACAGACAGCAATAATAATGCACCTAATAAGCCTGATAATAAGCCTGTGTTCACTCAAAACCCTTTCAATGGAAGTGTTCCTGAAACTGCTGGAAAGGGTAGGTGGATGAAGCAGTTTTGTTGAGATTGCTTTCAACATTCTAATGCAGGGATGAGCTTTTTGCACAAATATGAATTTCTGTATTATCTGACCACAGTAGGATGACCCTTATGAATTGCGTATTTCCAATTTTTGGTTGTGGAATGTTTATATTGTAATGTGCACTAGAGAGCCCTGTTAAAAAAAAAAAAAAAAAAAAAAATTATATATATATATATATATATATATATATATATATATATATATATATATGAAAATATAGGTTGATTTGCTTTTCGTTCATGAGTACTGTTGAATTTCAGGGTATATATTAACAGAAGAAATGTCTGTTTTCAATATAACATTCGGGTTAAAAAGATGATTCACCACAAAATTAATATTTTCTCACCCTCGGGTGGTTTAAAACCTTAATGAGTTTCTTTATTTTGTTGACCCCTGAAGAAGATATTTTGAAGAATGTTGGAAATGGGTAGCTACTGACATCCATAGCAGGGAGGAAATACTATGGAATGTGATGAATGCCGTTTTCCAATATTTTTTGAAATGTCATCGTGTGTGTTCAACAAAAGAAAGAAAATCCTACAGGTTTGGAAACAGATGAGGATGAGTAAATAATTATATAATTTATATTTTTCTCTTTAATAAGTAAATGGCTCACAGTTTTATGTTTTTTACACATTCAAATAATTGTTGACATTTAAAAGAGTGAGACCAGTCCTATAAACTTGAATCAAGTAATTATAATGTTTGTATTTTCTGTGGTTAAAAGTCATTCATTCATTCATTCAGTCAGTCATTAATTTTCTTGTCGGCTTAGTCCCTTTATTGATCCAGGGTCGCCACAACGAAATTAATCATCAACTTATCCAGCACGTTTTAACACAGGGGATGCTCTTCCAGCCGCAACCCATGTCCGGGAAACATCCACACACACACACACACACACACACACACACACACTCTCGTACACTACGGACAATTTTAGCCTACCCAATTTACCTGTACCACATGTCTTTGGACTGTGGGGGAAACCGGAGCACCTGGAGGAAACCCACACGAACGCAGGGAGAACATGCAAACTCCACACAGAAAAACCAACTGAGTCGAGGTTCAAATCAGCGACCCAGCGACCTTCTTGCTGTGAGGCAACAGCACTACCTACTGCGCCACTGCGTCGTCCGTGGTTAAAAGTGTGAAATATTTACATTGGTAGTGGTGATTTTCCCCACTCTTCACATTTGCTAATTATTCTTTACTCTCTCGCCAAAGGTGAAGTGTTTATGACGGTCACAGCCACTTATGCAGATGATAAAGAAAATACGGACAATGTTGATATCAGTTATGCCATTATCAGCCAAGATCCACCATCTCCAAAACCAAACATGTTTGCTATCAATCCTTTAAGTGGGGGGATTTCTGTGCTAGAAACCGGTCTGGACAGAGAGGTGAGAAATGCTTTTTGATGAATCTCAGCAGTTGTCAATTCTATGCAAGCAAGCTCATCAGTCATCTTCCTCTTTCAGCAATGGTCCAGATATACTTTGGTTATTACGGCTACTGACAGATACAGAGAGGGTTTGTCAACCACTGGCACAGCAGTTATTGCTGTTGCTGACAGCAATGATAATGCACCTCTGTTTGCCAGTAATTGGGTTATTCCTCCAATCAGTGTACTTGAAAATAGCAAAGGTCCTTTCCCAGTGAGGCTGGTCCAGGTCAGTGATGATTATGAATGAACTGTTTAAATGAGAATAATGATGAGAAAATGTTTCTGTTTTGACTGTTTTTCTAATGTTTTTGCTTTCTGTATTTAGATAAACACAAATTATGCTGCTGAAACTCAGATGGAATACAAGATTACTGGTGAAGGGGCAGATATGGATCCTAAGGGGATTTTCCAAATAGACAAACTATCAGGGTGGATCAGTGTGACTCAGCCACTTGACAGAGAAAAAAAAGGTTCATACCATGTAAGTAATTTTTTTTTTAACTATATATAAAGTATTTATTGCGATGCAGTGGTACAGTAGGTAGTGCTATCGCCTCACAGCAAGAAGGTCGCTGGGTTGGTAGCTCAATCCTCGGCTCAGTTGGTGTTTCTGTGTGGAGTTTGCATGTTCTCCCTGCGTTCATGTGGGTTTCCTCTGGGTGCTCCGGTTTCCCCCACAGTCCAAAGACATGCGGTACAGGTGAATTGGGTAGGCTAAATTGTCAGTAGTGTGTGTGTGTGTGTGTGTGTGTGTGTGTGTATGTGTGTTTCCCAGAGATGGGTTGCGGCTGGAAGGGCATCCGCTGCATAAAAATGTGCTGGATAAGTTGGCGGTTTATTCCGCTGTGGTGACCCCGGATTAATAAAGAGACTAAGCCGAAAAGAAAATGAATGAATATAAAGTTTTTGTTTTTTTTAATTTGTAACTCAGTTATTACCTAAGATGCCCTTTTTTCTCATGTCTTTAGCTTGTAGCTCATGCAAAAGGACTGGATGGAGATATTAAAGAAAAACCAATGTGGATCGCTGTAACTGTGATAGACCAAAATGATAATAAGCCAGTGTTTACTCAAAGTCTTATTAATGGAAATGTTCCTGAAGCTGCTGGAAAGGGTAGGTGCAGTTTTGTATTATCTGACTACAGTAGGATGGCCTATGTGAACTGCATATCACAGATTTTTGATTGGGAGTCTTTATTTTGTGTATAATGTGCACATCAAAGAACCCTATTATAATATATAAAAGAATACACAAGAAGTTGACTTCTTGGTTATGAGTAATATTTAATTTAAACAGCCAAACAAATCTTAACAGAAATAAATCTGTTTTCAATGTTCTCGCATCGCAGGTTAAAAAGATAATCCACTCAAAATTGAAACTTTTTATATGTTCAGGTGGTTAATGCGTTTCTTTATTTAGTTGAACTCAAAATAAGATATTTTGAAGAATGTTGTAAAGGGTTAGCGATTGAAATCTATAATAAGTTGGTGGAAATTGGGGTATGGGGGGGGGGGGCTGTTAACTGTATGCATGTTGATGGATGACCATTTCCAATATTTTTTTCAAATATCATATTTTGTGTTCACCAGAAGAAAAAATTCTACAGGTTTGGAAAAAATGGAGAATGAGTAAATATTGGCATTATTTTATTTTTGGGTGAACCATCAATTTATTTAGTTATTGACTCACAGTATTATGTTTTACACATATTAACATTTCATCTAGAATTAAGTAATTAATAGAGTTTGTATTTTGTGTAGTCAGGGGTTAAATAGCTGCATAGAGTACTGGTCCTTGTTGCTTCTTTACAAAGGCTGGTCACATGCCTGCTATTTATTCTTTACTTTCTCACCAAAGGTGAAGTGTTTATGACGGTCACAGCCACTGATGCAGATGATAAAGAAAATTCTAATAATGCTGATATCAGTTATTCCATTATCAGCCAAGATCCACCATCTCCAAAACCAAACATGTTTGCTATCAATCCTGTAAGTGGAGGGATTTCTGTGCTGGAAACAGGCCTGGACAGAGAGGTGAGAAATGCTTTTTAATTAATCTGAGCAGTTGTCAATTTTATGGAAGCAAGCTCATCAGTCATCTTCGTCTTTTAGCAATGGTCCAGATATACTTTGGTTGTTATGGCTGCTGACATGAACGGAGAGGGTTTGTCAACCACTGCCACAGCAGTTATTACAGTAACTGACCCAGCCGTCTAGAGGGCATCATCGCCACTGTAAAGGTACTGTTTGTTACTCATGTCTGCCCAGGCAATTGGTTGATGGCATACCTCAGTAAAAGGCCGTTTCTTTTTCCATTTAGCCCATGAACTATGATAAGAGCAAGCAGTGGTAACGATGATACATTTGTCGACTCTTTGCCTACTTCAACTGCCAAGGTTATTGTGAATGCAAAAGACGTGAATGACCCGCCTGAGTTTATTCCAAAGGTTATTTCCAATTGTGAATATTTACCAGCTGGTGGTGAACTGGTCTCTCCGTGAACAAGCTACTGATCCAGACACTGGAAAATCAGAAAAATCTTGCTTGTGTAACAGAGTTATTTTGGTAATATTATTTTCACTCAAAATCCTTTTTTCTATTGAGTATAACTTTTATTTACTTCATTTGATAATATTATATATATTATTTTATCGTTTTGAGTTTATGCTTGTATGTGACTTTCAGGACCTGTTCAAGTGTACTGTCACTTTAAGAGTGTATACTCGTTCGTGTGCGCGCTCATCGCTCTCTCAGTTCACTTCCTTCTGAGCTGAGAGAAGGTTGTCTCGTGGTTAATGGAGACATTAAACGGTAATATTATTGACGGTTGATGGTATATTTTAAATCTAAAATGTTTGTTGCTTCGCTAAACATACTCTGTGATGTGGAAATATGAAACTGTGGTTCTAAATGGTTGTGATTGAGATCGTTTGCATTTGTGAGTGAGATTAGCACATATTAGCATGCTGTAATTACTCCTCGTGTGCCAACAGGTTGTTTAATGAAGATCATAATCACAGAATGCATGTTTTCAACACATTTTCCATTTGTGCAGGTATGTTTTTGTATTGTTGGTAGTTTTTGTGATTTCATGTCATTAATATTAATTTAGTCTTATGTTAAGCAGATTAGTTTAATACATGTTCTTTCAAGAAATCGCTATCGCAGTTCACTTCCTTCTGAGCTGAGAGAAGGTTGTCTCGTGGTTAATGGAGACATTAAACGGTTGTTTAATGAAGATCATAATCACAGAATGCATGTTTTCAACACATTTTCCATTTGTGCAGAAAATAAAGACAGTGCCAAGCGGTAAGAGGTTTGGAGTCCTTTATTGAAAAACAACAACACAACGCAGGACGGATTCCACTCGTGTGGGACCCGTTACACTTGCTTATTTGTATAAATGTAATTTCTTTGACTAATGATCTGTCCTGCTATAATCACATATTTTTGTTTTGTTTATTAGAGACTAGATGCAGTCTAACTGCTTTTTATTAATAAAGATAAATGTAGAGCACCTGCCCTGACATTCTGTCTTCATTAATTCATTTATCAACATTTGCTCACACTGTTAAAAAGGAAAGAAGGGGGAAGATGCTTTTAGCAAGTATACATGCTTATAAATGTTATTGGTTTGAGGAAGACAAAGAAGCTGAATGTCAGATACAATATCCTAATGTTTCAAACTTCAAATATTTGTTGTTAGACTTTTCAGGATTTTTATGTCATTTAATTCAGCTTTTTTTTTTTTCAATTCAGCTTTATTTGTATAGCGCTTTTACAATGTAGATTGTGTCAAAGCAGCTTCACATAAATGGTCATAGTAACGAACAGTGTGGTTCAGGTTTTAGTGTTTAAGTTCAGTTCAGTTTAGCTCAGTTCAGTGTGATTTAATCATTACTGAGAGTTCAAACACTGAAGAGCCAATTCATCGATGCGTAGCTCTACCAATCCTGAACCATGCGAGGCAGTGGCGACAGCGGAGAGCGAAAAAAAAACCTTGAGGGAACCAGACTCACTTGGGCACGACCATTTTAATTTCTCCGCTGGCCAAAAGTCTTGTGCAGAGCTTCATTCGCCGTGGTTTAGGCTGGAAGATGGCCTCAGCGAAGACTCATCTGTCCCTGGAGCGTCGCTGGAATCAGACTCATGTTCTCCACTCCCCACGACCATCAGCGCAGCAGCAGCTCAGGATATGGCCTGGTCCCGGATATGGAATTCTTGGGATCATCACGTCGCTGGTCTTGGATCCAATCAGTGACTCCGCATAATCTGAGGACCTCGGGATGAGTATCCCCAGGTGAAAATAGAGAATAAAGAGAATAATTAGCGTAGCTGCTGTTCATAGTGTATATAAGAAAGATGCAGAAGCCTGTGTGGAACCCACTAGGTGATGCATTGAGTGTATGCTTTACTAAACAGATAGGTCTTTAATCTAGTTTTGAACTGGGAGAGTGTGTCTGAGCCTCGGACGTTATCAGGAAGGCTATTCCAGAGTGTAGGAGCCATGAGAGAGAAGGCTCGACCTCCTTTACTTGATTTTGCTATTCTAGGTACTACCAGAAGCCCTGAATTTTGAGATCTTAAAGAGCGAGTTGGTTTGTAGCGAGACAGAAGGTTGGTTAGATAAACAGGAGCTAAATTATTTAAAGCTTTATAGGTGAAAAGTAATATTTTAAATTCAATACGAAACTTAACAGGCAGCCAGTGTAAGGAGGATAAAATTGGGGTTATATGATCATATTTTCTAGACCTGGTCAGAACTCTGGCTGCTGCATTTTGTACTAATTGATGTTTGTTAATAGAGGATGCTGGGCAGCCAGCAAATAGATCATTACAGTAATCCAGTCTCGAAGTCATAAAAGCATGGACTAGCTTTTCTGCATCTGAGATGAATAGCATATTTCGTAATTTAGCGATATTTCTCTGATGAAAGAAGGCAGTTTTTGTGACATGGGATATATGGTTTTTAAAAGTTAGATTGCTGTCTAATATGACACCCAAATCTTTTATAGTAGAGCTAAAGCTAACTTTGTATCCCTCTAATTGTAAATTGAGTTGCAAGATCTGCTGTGTGCAAGATTTAGGCCCAATAAGTAATAATTCTGTTTTGTCGGAGTTTAAGAGAAGAAAATTGTTGGTCATCCAGTCTTTGATGTCTTTGATACACTCAGTTAGTTTAGAAAGTTCAGACGTCTCGTCAGGTTTAGTGGAAATATATAATTGAGTATCATCTGCATAGCAGTGAAAGCTGATCCCATGTCTTCTAATAATGTCTCCCAGAGGTAGCATGTAAATTGTAAACAGTAAAGGGCCTAAAACTGATCCTTGAGGCACCCCATACTTTACTGGGCTGACTTGTGAAGGCTGTCCATTAATATTCACAAACTGGTAGCGGTCAGTTAAGTATGACTTAAACCATTGTAGAGCCTGTCCCTGGACACCTGTAGACTTTAAGCATTTACAATTTTATAATTCATTAATCACTTATTTATGATTAATAATTGATTTTTACACTTTCTGTACATAAGTATTTACATGGTTTATTTGTCATGTAAAGAAAATTATTTAGTTTTGAATATGCTTTGGTACATAAACAACTTTGGATATTCTGTTTTCATGAAGGTTTTCATATTTTCAAAACTCTTAGTGCTAATCTCATATTAAAAATGTATAAAAACACGTATTAATGTTTTACTGGACTTATTGCAAGGTGCAAAATCATTTTATGACATTTTCACTTTTGAAATATTTATTCCTCATTTATATATTTGCCTTTCACAATGTTAGGAACATTTAGCTTTCATTTGTTCAGTTGAATAACATTTTATGAAATTATGTATCTTTAATTTGCTTTATAAATTCCAGACCAATTCTATAAAAAATACAGTAATAACTTAAGTTATTGTTGTGAAAAATATGTAGATAAATTACACAATGAAATTCACTTACTGTTGTAGGTGAAGCTCCAGTTTCCTCCATTGCGCATCACCAGAGGGAGCTATCACCCGAATTCTAACCATGCACCATTTGGACTAAATTCCCCTTAAGTCCCTCTGCCTGGGCGGCAGGTGCATTTTATACTTTCACATAGGGAAGAGATAGATAAGAGAGTTAAAATAGAATATTCATTCATTCATTTTCTTTTCAGCTTAGTCCCTTGATCAGGGATTGCCACAGCGGAATGAACTGCCAAATTATCCAGCCTATGTTTTACACAGCGGATGCCCTTCTAGCTACAACACATCACTTGAAAACACCCACACAATCTCACTCGAACACATATACTACAGACATTTTAGCTTACCTAATTCACCCATAGCGCTTGTCATGTGTAGTGTTATAAAAGTGTTTGCCCCCTTACTGATTTTCATTTTGCAAGTTTGTGATTATATTGAATATTAGTCAAAGATAACCCAAGGAACCACATCATACAGTTTTAAAGTGATGATTTTTATTATTAAAGCAAAACAAAATACAAGACTATCTCTGTGAAAAGGTGTTTGCACCCCAACCCTTTTTATGTACTAATTGTTTTGGTTGATACTGACATCTGGTGACAATTTCTTGCCAGCAGCACCTTTACAAAAACGGCGATGTGTTCAATACTTTTTTTACCCTCTGTACACACACTCACATATAGTAGTCAACATTTGAAGCAGAACAAAACATGATTCAAGTTTGTAATAAAACTATTGGAAAACACCCATTCTTGTGTTAGACAAAAACATTTCTTATATCCACTTCAAATGTTTACTACTATATATAATTACACAAAAATATAATCTCATACATCAAATAACATCAAGTTGTATATATATATATATATATATATATATATATATATATATATATATATATATATATATATATATATATATATACATACAACAGTTCTGTCAGGTTCTTAAATCTGATTGGCAGATAGCTCTGATATATTTTAGTAATATCAGCACCCGTAAAGCCTCCTTACCCTTTGTGTTTTACTCCACCCACATACAACCAGCAAAAAGCAGACACTACAGATCTACAGTTTAAAAGATGCCTGCTCACCTGTTTAACTGTCAGCTTATGATTTGAATCAAAGGCGGAAGAAAGTTCCTCATAAAAAAGGGTTTTTTGAGACTCTCCATGTTTGATTTTGTATATATATATATATATATATATATATATATATATATATATATATATATATATATATATATATATATATATATATAACAAATGAATGTGAGATTAAAGTGTATATAGATGATAAAATAGATCAACTAAATTGAACAGATAAAACATGTGCAGTTTTGGATAAGTGTTTGCAATTAATCTTAATGATAAAGTTCCTGAGTTAATGGATGTCCTATCAAATTTCGGAAAAAGTGTGAAATTGTTAAAAGATTTCAACTTTGCATATGATTCAAATCTCGGCATGAAAGTAATTGAAAGTAAATTTCTCAGATGAGTGGGTGCGAGGCGACCTTCTGCTTTCCCAATTCTACACTTGTGCAACAGCCCTCTGGTTTCATCATGATTTCAAACACTCAATTTGAGAAACGCATAAATCAAATTAATAAATTAATAAATTCATACCATTGTACCTGAGCAGTTTTAATTGTTTTTTATTTTTGTATTTGATTAGCCATCAACAGATCCTCATTCTGTTATAATAAAGTCTTTTTTTGTATAATTGTATAATTTTAATACCACATTTAGTTATGTTTAGTTGTATAAATTAATGTCAAATTAATAACTTATACAGTCAATTTCTTTGTGAAGTTGTTTCAAAATTGGTTATACTTATAATTGCTAGTGGCTGGTCATGCATTATCCACTTTATAATTCACCAATCAGATGATTGCTAAGCCACTATAAATACCCTAAGTTCCATTTAACAGCCATCTTTGTTTTGAAGAATCCCCCCTTCCACCTCTACTTTTTTCCTTTTCTAGATGCTTGGCACGATAGATCAGTGATTAGCACTGTTGCCTCAGCAAGAATGTGTGCAACTTCAGCAATTAAACACTTTTAATGTGTTTATGCCTTTAGTAAGATGTTCATGGTGATGTTCACTTTCACCATTTTATTTAGGGAAACTCCTGAGATAAATAAGTTTTACCTCTGGACTGGACTTTAATAATAAACCTGTATAAAATGCTGTGCCTCCCACCTTCTTTTTTTCAGCCACAATGACTTCAGGTACCTCTCAAGCGAGTTTTGCGCACAAGTCTGCATACTGTAGATGCGTCCTCGATATCAAATTTCATGCGTCCTCTGTTCCTACGGTCTTGAATTTTGGAACTGAACTTTGGCAGTAGATGATGACATTACACAAGAACACGAGCATGCCAAACAAGCTTTATAATCAATCATCAGCCAAGTATAAACTCTTGAATTATATTTTTATTTATTTAATTGCAATCTTGATCTCTATTTAAAAGAAGTGGGTAGAGTGCTTAATATTCTGTTAAATTATTCTAAATGTAGTTTCTAGATATTTTGTTGTGTTTTCACATACAAAAAACAAAAGAATAGGTTTTGGTGGATGAAATAAAAGAAAGTGAATAAGTCATTAAAATATGGAACTTGAAAATGTTGGATGGTTGACTTGAATGTTTGTGCTCCCCAACAGATGTCTGTCTGAAAAATATGTGTGCCAAGACACCTTTTCTTTGGGTTATAAAGAAAGCTCTATGCAAATATTTATTCAAAAGAATCCATGATACAGGGTTGCAGTCTTTCACGCTGCATGTATGTGCATGCACTTTATGTAATGGTGCAAAAATGTCTCAGCCCACAAGCAGCTCACAGTAAAGAATATAAATACCCCCAGTGAAGACATTTTAAACAACTGCAATAACTGTGAACTCTGAACAACCAGTCAGAAAGGGATTTCTCAAAGAGCTTTCAAGACATTTTGTTTCAATCGTTTTTTCATTTTGTTTGAAAATAAATGTGGAAATATTGAAATAAAATGTGAATTTAAATAAAAAAACTTTTTTTTTCGCTCCTGTGAAATTGAACTTCAATAATATGTATTTTAGAACATTTTCTTTTGTGTTCAACAGAAGAAAAAAAAAAAATCTTAAAGCTCATAAAGGACAAGTCAAAACACAACTGCTTAAAAGGTTAAGATACTCCAGAAGTTCGGTCGGTCTGTCTATGAAATTAAAAAAAAAAAAAAAAAAAAAAAAATATATATATATATATATATATATATATATATATATATATATATATATATTAAGACGACATCTTCCTGTTAAAAAGTTTTAATCAATCAATCAATCAATCAATCAATCAATCAATCAATCAAAGTCTTTTTGTGAGGTCTGTATAGTGAATAAGGGCCTGGAGACCCAAGGCACAGCCAGTGTTTTAGCGATTCAATTTACGCAGGAAAAGTTGCTCCAAATGCATTGAAAAGTGTCTGTCTGCCTGTCAGTCCAAGTCCTGCTTTGCGCCAAGGCGCATGGGCTAAAAGGGTTGAGTTAATTTTCTTAATGAGTTATAGGTGTGTTTTGAGAATAAACCAATTAGAGTCTCATCTCCCATTCCCTTTAAGAGCCAGCTGCCGCGCCAGGAGCGCATTCGCTATTTACAGGACGCAAAGTAAGTCAAAGTAAGTAAGTGGAAAAAATTAGCATTTCACAAGCAAACAGTTAACAGTTGACAGTTTTTTAACAGAAAACTGTTAAACAGAGCATCTACTGCGTGTGAATGAGAGATAATGGATCACTTTCACATTCGCTCTTGGATAGGGAAAGCTTTACGCACAGACATCCATTAGCCTATAAATAATTAATTTTGTTTGTTAAGTGCAAAGATTAGTTTCAAAACTATTTCTAAATTCAGTTCTAATTTCTAGCAAACGAATAAATGAACAATAATGACCAAGTGTGGTCAAATTACTGAATTATTTCCAAATACACCTGCCATGCCCCATATTGTCTGAAACCTGACAGGTGGAAAAATCTAAGCTTGTTTTTAATAAAACAAATATGAATATGGATACATTAAATAATACTGCTGAATAATACCAGTATACAAAAGCAAATTGTTATGAATGAACTGAAAAAGCCTCCCGAGATGAAGACATAAAAGCAGTGATTTTTTTTATTTATGTAGGCTAGAAAATAATATGTTTTGTAATATTTTAATCCTTTATATTTATATCCTATATCTATTCTTGTTATATCCTATATATATCCTTAATATTTAAATTTTTTCATATGTAAAGATGTTTGCCTATTGCTCTCTTGTGCGTATTAAGCAGTACGTAAGCGAGGCGCAACTCTGCGCCGGAGTTTAGACCGGGTTTGTTTTGGTCTAATGAAAAATCTATTATAGATTCTCAAAATAGCAACGCGCCAGCGGTCCGCCTCAGAACGCCTTCCTTTTTAGACCAGAACACCTATGGGCGCACAAATGAGCGCTTATGCATTTGCTATTTAAACAGCGTAGCGCAACGCCTCAAAACGACTCTTGCGCCAAGCTGAAACTACCAAAAGACTATTGCGCTGCATCTTGCGCCACACTGCGCCGGGTGTATGATAGGGCCCTAAAAAGCAAAGTACAATCAAAAAGAAGATTTATTTAACTCAATTGAAATAATATAATCAAAATATTAGTATCAGTTTGTTCAATCAGTGTGAAATGTAAGTGAATGGAATGGATGCATTAAATGTCTTCATTAATTGTGTATGGTTGCGAAACAAAGCAGAATGCGCAGCTCTGGCCAACTGCCAAGTCAATGGACAGCGGCCCTGACAAACTCTCTGCCAGGGTTGAAATAAGGGTGCTGACCAGCATCAGGTGCGCTGAAGGCACGCCCTCAATCTAGAATCAAATCAAACACACAGAAACACAAAACACCATCCTAACAATAGGAAAAACTTTTTTTCCCAAGATTTTACCCAGACGAAACAAATTTTATTCATTTTCTTTTTTGGCTTAGTCCCTTTATTAATCTGGGGTGGCCACAGCGGAAAGAACTGCCAGCTTATCCAGCATAATTTGTACGCAGTGGATGCCCTTCCAGCTGCAACCCGTTAATGGGAAGCACACTTACACTCTCCCACGTGAACGCGGGGAGAACATGCAAACTTCACACAGAAATGCCAACAGACCCAACTGACTGAGGCTCAAAAAGCGACCTTCTTATTGTGAGGCGACAGTACTAACTACTGCACCAACACGTTGCCCGAAACAAAATTTTAGAAACAAAAAAAATTAGAAACATTGTAGAAAAAAATTAACAGGATGCAAAACACTTTTACCAGAAAAAAATTACAATGACCAATCCTTTATGGAATGGGAATATACCACACACCGGAAGTGACGCAGAATGTACCTGTGAGTGACTTTGTAGACACAGGAGAACAGGAGTCCAAAAGCACAGGTTAACATGAGTCTCACTCATACAACTATAAAAATTATGGGGTAATACTTTACAATAAGGTTCATTAGTCAATGCATTTTCTAACATGAACTAATCATGAACAACACATGTACAGCATTTATTTATCATAATTTAACATTTACTCATGCATTATTAACATCCAAGTCCATGCTTTTTAACATTAGTTAATGCACCATGAGTTAACATGAATTAACAATGTACTACTGTATTTTCATTAACTAACATTAACTAACATGATCAAATACAGTAGTAAATGTATTGTTCATTGTTTGTTCATGTAAGTAAATGCATTAATTAACATTTTCAAACCTAACCAACAGTTTGGAGAATTGTTTAAATATATACTCTAAGTAGTTCTTGCTGACAGGACATGTTGGCATCCACTTTCATGAGGGACGTTGCAGCCCGATCAACCACTTTTTGATAAAGAAGCTTCATTCTTATTGTTCTTGTAATTTAAATCTTCTGATGATTGTATCTGAGCATTTATTTTTTAGTATTTAACTTGATGTCTTCCACCACTTAACCATCAACAGATCCTCATAATGTTGTTGTAAAGTCCCTTCTTGTATAATTGTGTTTTAGTTGTATTATTAAATAAGTCAATAACTTATAAAGTCAGTTTGATGTCTTACTAGTAACATATTTCTCTTTATCTACTAATTTAGATTTCATTGCAAATTTGATCTCTAGTTGAAAGAGTTGAGGTAAGTACTTCATATTCTGTTAAATAGTTCTGTTTGAAGTTACAAGATTTTTAATGTGTTTTAGGTATTCAAGTTAGGAATAAGAAATAAGGAAGTAATTTAAAAAAATATGTAACTTTGGTAAATGTTTGTGCTCCCCAACAGATGTCTGTCTGAAAAATATGTGTGCCCAGAAACTTTCCTTTAAGCTCTCTAAAGAAAGCTCTATACTAAATATGTATTCAAAAGAATCTGTTATTACAATGAAGGGTTGCAGACTTTCACGGTGCATGTTTGTGCAAGCACTTTATGTAATGGTGCAATAATGCCACAGCCTACAAGCAGCTCACAGTAAAGAATATAAACACCCCCGGTGGAGGCATTTTAAACATCTACAATAGCTGTGGAGTCTGAACAACCAGTCAGGAAGTGATTTCTCAAAGAGCTTTCAAGACATTTTGTTTCAAACAGATACGATGAGTGTGCGATTGGGAACCCTCTTTGTGATTTTTAAGGTAGGAGTCTATTTTTAGCTGTTGTTATATAAGTGACTTTAAAAAGAAATGTGTAAATATATATTGCAATAAAATATGAAGTAAAATAGAAAACAAATATATTATATTATATCCAAACATTTTAATTGATGTTTAACAAAACATGGAAATTAAAGCAAATTCACAGTGTACATATAATATATGTGTAATTTGGCTGGATTAATAAAAAAAAGTATTTACATTTTTAAAAAACGTTTTTATTATTATTTTTTTATTATTAGCTGCCTTAATGAGTTATTCTTTTAAATCCTCTACAGATAAAACTTTGGTGGCCCACTGGCTTGTAACCTAACTAGTTAAGCCTTTAAATTGCTCTTTAAGGTGAGAGAGAGAGACCAAACCACCATGAAGTTTGTCTACGAACTTTACTTTTCTAGTTTAATATTGTCCTACGTATGAAATTCTAAATAAAAGATGTTTACAAATATTACACATGACTGTAACAATCACATAACCCCAAGGCGCCCTTGGTTCTAAATACTGTGTGTAGTTAGTGTGGATGATCTACTTGTTTGTGGTGTGGTGGTTGTTTATTGAGACCTTTGTTTGAATAGTTATAGTGGCCAAAAAACAATTATCCATCTGCTGTAGATTCTTTGACATTAAATTAGAATTAATTTAAAAACTTCAAACCATTAGAGCACCATGTTATTGTAAATGTTATATAAAACAATCTAATTTGTTTCAATTTAGATATTGTCATATGGATTGGCGGAGGAGTCTCCATGTACACCTGGCTTTAAATCGAATCTGCTGGTTTTTAAAGTCCACAAAGATCACCTTCACAGGGGAGAGAGACTCGGAAGAGGTAAGCGGTTTTCTCCTGTCAATAGAAGTGGCTAAACATTGAGCGGGTACTACTCTCTTGGGGGTGGAGCAATCTTTTAGTGCGTCATTCCTCCACTGCACATGACTACTTTCTTAATTGAAACTTCGATAAGCCACACCTGAAAACCGCCAAACACAAAATGCAGCTTAGCACTGTTCTTTTGCTCCACTACTTTCCTTTAACCTGCAGTCACTACTTAAATTTTTCTAATCCCCATAGACAGGAAAAACAGTCCTGTGATTTGTCTAATCAAATATACTGTATAAGGCAAATGGCATCATAATGAGCTACCTCAAGACATGAGCACTTTATAATTGCGGCAAACTGTTTGGAAGCAATAAAAGTTTCTAAGAAGATGTCCAAATTCTTTACACGCATTGACACAGAGACTGTTTAGATGCATGTCACTGATGGGAAGACGACAGATGTTTACTGTATGAGGACTGAAATGGCCTTAAATACCCAGCAGGCACAAGACGTCAACTTGACGTCAGATTAACGTTGTACCATAACGTCATGGGGGCGTTGTAGAATTATTTGTAAATGAAAATCGGTTTGACTTCAGAACTCAACATCAGGTCGATGTCAATGTCCACGTCCAACCTAAAAGCAACCAATTATCAACGTCTAATGATGTTACAGCGTAACGTTGTGTGGACGTTACCACAGTGATTTCTATCAGACGTTGTACTTTGGTTACCATAACTTATAAATAAATGTGAGTATTTGACCTCAATATGACGTTGGTTGAAGATGTTGGCTCGACATTGAATTTTGGTCACTTTCTAACAACTTAAAATCAACCAAATATCAATGTCGGAACGTTGGACATCAAAATAGTATACTCTTTAGATGCTGGCTAGATGTTGAATTTTGGTCACCTGGCGTCGCAACCTAAAATCTAATCTAATATTAACGTCATATGATGTTGTCTGCCAGCTGGGCAATAACTCAATGCACTACAGAATGTTACGTTTACACACAGATGCACAAATGACAGGTAAATGCATCATCTTTTTACAGCGTAGTACTCACTACTCTTGAGTACATTTGAAATGTCTACTTTTTACTCATACTTTGAGTAAGATTTACAACAGATACTTTTACTCTACTTGTACTACATTTTGGGCAAGTAATGGTACTTGATTTTTCAATACTCCTTCCACCACTGCTGATACCCGGTATCCTAAAAGGTTGGACGGGCTTGTTAAATTTTTTTTTTTTCCCCTTCCAAAACCTAAAGTGAGAAATGCCAGCATGGATCAAGCAATGAGGGGCACTAAAAGAGCGCTGTTAAGTTGATTTTGTTTTTGATATTCCTGGCACACTCAGGAATAGACGACAATAACTCACACACCTCTTACCCTAAAAAAAATCTAAACTTTGTTTCCTGCAAAAATACAAAGCAGGTTATGTTTCCCAGCTGTCTTTTTACATTTTTTGCTTGATATTATGAGCACTGCTCTGTTTCCTCACAATAGCTGTAAGAGCAAGCACAATCCAGTCATATTTCCATTTCTTTCAAGCTACGAATATTTGAAATTACATATCAACAGAACAAAACCGAGATGTGATCACAAACTGAGTACTTGCGATCAATCTTTTGATAGTTTTTTCAGCCATTTATAACCCTCATGTCAATTCACTAATGTTTTCACTTGTCTTTTGGAGCTTTAGTCATTGGTGACAGCGTTATGCCGGGTTAGTGTCTGCTTTTATATTTGTTGTTGGATTAATATTTGCTGTTAGTACTTGTTCACTTCTGCTATTTATAATTTGATTTGCATTTTAGTTTATTTGTTTTTTGCACTTTACTGCAAACTTGAATAGTAACTGTGTAAAAAACCCACAAACATACTGACAGTTATATTATACAATGTTAACATTTGGCACAAATCCATCAATTTCCCCTTTCTGGCTGCTCTTTCTATGAGTGAATTATGTAGAAGCACTGTTCATGTGTGTTTCCTTGCCGGTTAGAAATGTAATATTTTAATGCACAACAATTAGGCCCAATCCTAATTCTATTTGTGTACCTCTACCCCTTCCCTTTGACCTTTAAAACCAAGTGTGAAGGGGGAAGAGCTTCAAAAATTACCCCTAAAAAATGGAACACCACTGCAGCACCTGCACAAGTCATCATATGTCATCGTGAGCTCTTCCTTCAGATTGTAACTATACTGCGCATTTACACAGTGACTATATTGATCAATGTAAACACACCAAAAAAATAAAAAATAAAAATTAATTTGTAGATCTCCTTACTTCCGGGTGCAGTCATGCTGCCGTTGTGGCTGGTGTATTCTGGGAAATTTTCTTACCCCCTTGGATTCGAGTGTGATCCTGAAAAATCTCAGCTTGAAGGGCTATCTACCCCTTCCCTTTAGACCTACACCTTCAAGCTAAAGAGAATTAGAACACCCCTACCCCTTTACATAAACGTGCAAAATTAGGGGTAGGGGGAAGGGGAAGGGCAAAGGGGTACAATTGGGATTGGGCCTTAGTCTATCAAGTCACGGTTTAATTTGTTATTATAAGATTATTTTCACATTTCACCTCTCCTGCTGTGCATGAATTAAGTTGCTGAATGCTCAGCGTACGAGGCAGCTAGGCTAACCTAGCTTCAAGTTTGATTAAAATATTTTCTAATTTGTTGCCTATTATGTTATGAACATACCCCTGTAATGCATACTGCAGTCCTTTTTTGTCTGCTTTCTCAGAAATCTCACCTGTTCACCAAAAATGACTAATTATATCCCTGGGAATGTCTGACACTGGCGCATACACATTGTAATAGACATGCCAGGTACTAAAGCTTGACAGGCGTAACAACAGTAACTAAGGAGCGCAGGGCTTAGCGAAGGGTCAACCGCCATCCACCAATCGTAGCAACTGTAGCGACGCGCAGGGGCTCTGTCAAGCTTTCAAGCGAGTGCATATGTATTGTGCAAATCTGATACCCGGTATCCTTAAAGTTTGCACAGGATGGTGGAGTTTTTTCCCTTTTCAAAACCTAAAACCCAAGAGGAGAAACGCCAGCGTGGATCAAGCTGTGTGAGGGGCGCTAAAGGAGTGGAGCTAGGTTGGTTTTGTTTTGATATTTCTGACACATTCAGTGATAGACAGGCGGCAATAACTCACACACCTCCTACTCTAAACAGATCTAAACTGTGTGTCCTACAAAAACACAAAGCTGGTTATGTTTCACAGCTGTCTAATTCCTTTTTTTCGCTCGATATTATGAGTAATGCTCTGTTTAAGCCTTCGCCATAACGTTAGTAACGTAGTCATACTAATAGCGAATAGGTCATAATGACATGAATTATTGATCCGGAAAATATGAATCTGCAAATCTGTTGCTAACTTTGATCTTCATATTTCCATCTGTTTTAAGCTACGAATATTTGAAATTACAAATCAACAGAACAAAACCGAGATATGATCACAAACTGAGCAGCTGCGATCAATATACTTTACCACCAGCAGTTTTTCAGTCATACATAAAGAGCACACAAATTTACTGACAGTAATAGGTAACTTACTGTAAATGTACATTGTTATGGTACAATGATGCTAATATTTGGCACAAATCCATCAGTTTCCCTTTCTGGCTGCTCTTTCTATGAATGAACTATGTAAAAGCACTGTCATGCGTGTTTTCTCGTCGGTTAGTAACGCTACATTTCATTGCACACCAATTAATCTATCAGGCTTTTTGGCTAAAAAATAGAAAAATCACGGTTTCATTTGTTATTATTAGATTATTTTTAAATTTCACCTCTCCTGCCGAGCATGAGCCAAGCTGTTGAATGGTTAACATATGAGGTGGCTAGGCTAAGCTAGCTTCAATTTTGATTGATTTATTCTCTAATCGGTTGCCTATTATGTGGTGAATATACCCCTGTAATGCATACTGCAGTCTTTTTTTGTCTGGCTTTCTCGGATATCTCACCTGTTCGCCAAAAATGACATTATATCCCTGGCCATGTCTGAAACCAGCACACACACATTGAAAAAGCCATGACAGGCATGAAAGCTTGTCAGGCGTAGCAACAATAACTAAGGAAGGTGGGGCTTAGCGAAGGGTCCATTGCTTGTGCTTTGAAAACTTAAAACTTAAAATGCCTCTCTCAAAGCTCAGCTGTATGTACTGTGTCTTTCTGGTGGAAATTCAACAATTATGCGCTTCTATGAATTAACCAGAGATTTTGCAGGAATATGCAAATAGTAAAAAAAAAAAAAAAACACTTGATGCTTATCTTTTGCCATCTTTGACCCCAGAAACACATTTACAGTACACAGACTCCTTACAGGAGAAGTAGAAAATGAAAAAAAAAAAAAAAAAAAACAAGTGAAAATGAGTCAGTGCTGAAAATCAATAAGAGAAAAATAACTAACAAAAATAAAGAATAAATAAAGCATAAGGTAAAAAAAAAAGTGTAGAAAAAGAGAACCGGTTAAACTGATTAAACTTAAAAATGAAACGGATAGTTCTCCCTTTTACTCAACTGATAATTTACTCACTAGATAAGGTTTATTTATAAACTAATTTTTAAGAGGATCACATGCTTATGATTGCTTTCGGTTGGTCCCGCATTATTCAATGTATGATTCACCAATCAGACGATTGCCAAGCCACTATAAATACCCTAAGTTCCATATTACAGCCATCTTCGTTTTGAAGAATTCCCCCTTCCACCCCTACTTCTCCTTCTTACCTAGATGGGTGACACGGTGGCCCAGTAGTTAGCACTGTTGCCTCATAGCAAGAACGTCAATGGTTCTTGTCCCTACCAAGCCAGCAGTTGTTTCTGTGTAGAGTTTACACATTCTCCCTGTGCTCACGTGGGTTTCCAGCCTGATCTCACGAGGAAACGTAAGTATTTTAAGTTTTGTCAGTTTAGTGCAGTGGTTCCCAAACTGGGGCGTGCAGTCTGACCACCAGGGGTGCGCAAGAAAATGCTTGTAATGGCGGAAAGTTTTATCTTTTATTAGTTTTATACATTTATTTTGGGTAAACTTCACATTTCATATTTCTAAGAGAAAAGAAATTTACTTAAAGAAAAGCAAAAAAAAAAACACATAATAAATTGTAATTTACAACCTGTGCATAGTCATCTCGCTGTTCCACGTGTGTCACAATAGCCCTGCCTTTTCACATTAGTCATGTGACAGTAGGGATATACCATCTACATCGGCCGAGGCGAGACGCTCGGGCCAGTGTACAGAATGGTGTACAGATGCTGTCTTTTCACAAAAGTTTACCTTGGCTGCGACTCTCTGTCAATTGCATGCAAATACAATCTTAGGGTGCTTTTACACATAGACGTTTGTTTCAGAATCTGTTTCGTTTCCCCGTTAACGTGGTTTGTTTGGCATACATGAATCCAGCAAACGTGCTGGGATCCGCGCCAAATCAATCGGCCCAAGATCGCCTGAATGAGATGCTCTCTGCTCGATTGAGCGGATTGATTGTAGTGAGAAAACAAAACAATCCAACAAACTAACGACCCAGGCTATATCACAGTGTATTATGATTGTGTAATAGCCATATATATGGCTATATGAAGAGTAGGGCAGGATATTATGTCTAATACGAAAGTGAAAGCATGCTGAAAAATGACCAAGAGGTGTTTATCCGTTAGGAAAATTGACCGAAGTAACTATCTGATAATTTTTCCATATTTTAATCTTATAATATGTTGTGTTAGGCCTGTTGTTTTGTTTATTTCTGCACTGACAGCTCAAAAGAAACATCCACATTGATCTGCTTCATGATCTGATGCAGTCTTCGTTCATCTGTTTTTTTTTTTTTTTTTTAATTTTGGCAGGGCAAGTACAAATCTGAACTACACTTACAAACAAGACACACCCACTTAAAAGACAACTGGGTACACTGCAGCATCCACCAAGAAGCTCTAGCGATGAAAAACATGCCAGATGAACCTTTGTCTGTACTTAATGACGATGTGAAAATTGTCAACTTCATAAAAGCTAGTCCATTAAATTCACATATTTTATTATTTTTATTTTAATCATGTATAGAGAAAATATGTGTATTTTGTTAAAATGCAGAGTTTAATCAGAGAAATGGGTGCTTGACATGTGTCAAATATTAGAAAGGGGTGCACACAACACAAATTTTGGGAACCACTGGTTTAGTGGCTAGTTAAGTCTTTTAAAAAGAAGGTGTGGCACCCAACCCCACCCCTAACCCCAACCGTCATTGGGTGATAAGCAAATCGTACAAAATTGTATGAGTTAGATTGTACGAATTCATACGAATTAGCCACTAGATGAAAAAGTACCGAATTGCCGTGAGATTGCGTTGGGGTTTCCCCCAGGTTCCCCAGTTTCCTCCCATCATCCAAAAACATGCAACTTAGGTTAATTGACCAATCCAAATCGGCACCATAGACATGCTCCTAGTAAGTAGTTATCTCTTAAGAGCAATCACTAGCTGTTCATTAGCTACTACAGCAAGGGAGTTCTCAAGATGTACCTGAGCTTAAACTCCCCTCTCGCCTTGCAAACGGGAAAGAGCCCAGGGCTTGAGAACCTTGTCGGCTCAGGGCTCTCTTCCGGGACAGCATAACAAGCTAAGTGGGAACTCTTGAATTACTCTACCTCGAGTGGTTCCAAACCTTTTTTTTATACTGTTGAACATAGAAGGAGATGTGTTAAAGAAACTTGTAACCATTTAGATCCATAGTAGAAAAAAACAAATACTTTGGCTTAAGGTTTCCAGCTGACTTCAAAATATCTTTTGTGTTCACCAGAATGCAGAAATCAAACAGGTTTGCAAGAAATGAAGGATGATTAAATGATGACATAATGTTTTTAGTCTTTTGGGTCATTAGCTCTAATCTGAGCCACAGGTCACTTAATATTCAGTGGGTAAATATAACTTTTACACTTTTTGTTGAATCTTTCAGCAATTACAGCTATCACAAATATTCTGTAATTGTTTGAGATGCAATATTGTACAGAAGTTGTATTGTTTCTTTCAACATTTCTTCTAATATTTATTAAATTTCTTGCTATAACTCTTCATCACTGACACTGAGAGTGATCAGATGCTGGACATTAACAATCACAACTTGGTGGACATAGAATTGTGCTTGCACAGTCATTTTCTTCCCTATACAGATGCAGGTTTTCATAAACGCTGAAAAACAAACTTTGTTTCTTACTTAGATTTTTGATCTTGTTTTTAGCCCAGATATCTAAAAATTCTTAAATCAAGAAGCATTTTCTAGGCAAGTAAACATTTGGCTTTTTTTCAAAGACAATATTCCAAAATGAAGTAAGTTTTACATTAAAACAAGCAACATATTCTGCAAAATGGATTAAGCTAAATAATTTGATGTTCAAACAAAAGCAAGATTATTTTTAATTATTTGAATTCTTTTGACTTTTTCCTAGAAAACCAGAGAATAGTTTTTCTTGTCTATAAAATGCTTCTTGATTCAAGATTTTTAGATATTTGAAACAGAAACAAAATTGTTTGCTAATACTAACTGAATCTCTTTTGTTGTCAGTCGTATTTAACACATGTGATGGAAGAACAGGAATAGATTTTCAGTCCACTGATCAGGAGATTGATCTGAACAGGGATGGGACTCTGATGATGAGGAGGTCAGTGACTCTTCATGAAGGCCCCAAGGAGTTTTTAGTGTCTGCATGCGACTCCAGTGGCAAGAAGCACACGGTCTCTGTCAGAGTTGAATGTGTTCATTATCATAAGGATCATGACGTGAATACATTGATGAATAGCACCTCTGTACAGGTACAGATATTACTTTCTAAAACAGCAATGTGTAACACGATACAAAGTGTGGTGCTATTTTTAAACAAATTGGGAATTAAAGCGATCATGTTTTTCTCATTTTGTTTAAAACAAAAAATCAAAACAGCACAAATGTTATGATTAATCATTGTTGAATTGAGAGAATTCACCTAATCTTCCACTGATGTTTGTGAAATATTATTATTATTATTATTATTATTATTATTATTATTATTATTATTATTATTATGTATAAATAATATTAAAATAAAAGTTACTGAACACAAAGGTTACATTACTGTATCCATTACTGTCTTTTTGTAGGTGGAATCTCCCTCTGATGATCTAGTTCTGACATTTCCAAAGTCTACATCATGTTTAAAGAGAGCAAAGAGAGGTTGGATTGTTCCTCCAATCAGTGTATCTGAGAATAGCAAAGGTCCTTTCCCAATGAGGCTGGTCAAGGTCAGTGACAGTAAGGAATGAAAATGAAGTGAATGAGAAGATTTGTCTGATTTTTCAGTTTTTCTGATGTTTTGCTTTTTGTAATTAGATAAAGTCAGATTATGCTTCTGAAATTCGGATGGCATACAAGATCACTGGTGAAGGGGCAGATCTGGAACCTAAGGGGATTTTCCAAATAGACAGACTATCAGGGTGGATCAGTGTGACTCAGCAACTTGACAGAGAAACAAAAGCTTTTTATAAAGTAAGTTGATTTGTTTATTTATTTATTATTTTTTTGGTCAAGTTGGTAAATTAATAAAGAATACAAATAAATAAACCTCTCTAATAATACCTAACATCCCTATGTTTTCTTATGTCTTTAGATGGTAGTTCATGCAAATGGTGTTGATATTGATATTTTAGAAAAGCCAATGGTGATTATCATAACTGTGACAGACCAAAATGATAATAAGCCTGTGTTTACTCAAAATCCTTTCAATGGAAATGTTCCTGAAACTGCGAAAAATGGTAGGTGGATGATACAAGTTATTTTTGGCGAACTTACTTTCAGTACTCTAATGCAGAGGCTTTTTTGTTTTGCTAATGAATTTCTGTATTTTCTGACCACAGTGGGACGAGCTTTGTGAATTGCATATCTTCCGTTTTTGTTTAGGGAATCTTTATATTGTGTATAAAGTGCACATCAGAGAACCTTATCAATGTGTATGACAAAATACAAGTTGATTATTTATTAGTTATTTAGTTTATAGGTAACATTGAATATTTGATATAGACTATTGAAGTCAATGGATATTCAACATTCTTTAAAATATCTTTTGTGGTTAATAGAAGAAAGAAACTTCTACAGATTAGGGAAGAATGGAGTATAAGTACCATTTTTTTTGGTTTAACTATCGATTTGAGTTATTGGCCCACAGTTTTATGTTTTTACACATACAAATAATTGGTGACATCAAAAAAGGGATACTAGTCCTAGAAACATTTTAATAAATAAAACTGTAACTTAAACTAGAATTGAGTAAATATAAAGAGTAATTTCTATTTTGTGTGGTGAAAAGTGTAAAATATTTGCATGAAGGACTGGTCATTTTTTCTTCTTTTTTTCCCTCTTCACATGGCTTGGTCATGCCTGCTAATTATTGTTTACTCTCTCACCAAAGGTGAAGTGTTTATGACGATCACAGCCACTGATGCAGATGATAAAGAGAATACTGACTATGCTGATATTAGTTATGCCATTATCAGCCAAGATCCACCATCTCCAAAACCTAACATGTTTGCTATCAATCCTGTAAGTGGAGGGATTTCTGTGCTAGAAAAAGGCCTGGACAGAGAGGTGAGAAATGCTTTTTGATTAATCTTAGTTGTTGTTCAATTTTATGCAAGCAAGTTGATTAGTCATCTTCCTCTTTCAGCAATGGTTCAGATATACTTTGGTTATTACGGCTACTGACATGAACGGAGAGGGTGGGTCAACCACTGCGACAGCAGTTATAAGTGTTACTGACAGCAATGATAATGCACCTCAGTTTGACAGAGATTGGATTATTCCTCCAATCAGTGTCCTTGAAAATAGCAAAGGTCCTTTCCCAATGAGGCTGGTCCAGGTCAGTGATGCTTGCGAGTAAATTGTTGAAAGTTAGGAGGATGATGAAAAGATTTGTCTGTTTTGACTGTTTTTCTAATGTTTTTGCTTTCTATGATTAGTTAAAGTCAGATCATTCTCCTGAAACTCAAATGGCATACATGATCACAGGTGAAGGGGCAGATCAGGACCCTATGGGGATTTTCCAAATAAACAGACTATCAGGGTGGATCAGTGTGACTCAGCCACTTGATCGAGAAAAAAAAAAATTCATACAAAGTAAGTTGATGTCTTAAAATAAAACCTTTATTTTTTTTTCAAATAAACAGTACATAACATACTCATATTTATTATGTCTTTAGCTCATAGCGCATGCTAATTCAGTGGATGGGCGTTCAGCAAAAAAAACAATGAAGATTATTGTAAATGTGATAGACCAAAATGATAATAAGCCAGTGTTCACTCAAAACCCTTTCAATGGAAGTGTACCGGAAGCTGTTGGAAAGGGTAGGTGGATGATGCAGTTTTAGTTGAGATTACATTCATCATTTTAATGCAGGGATAGGCTTTTTGCACAAACAAAATTTTCTGTATTATCTGACCACAGTGGGTGACCCTTGTAAACTGCATATTTTTTGAGTAACATTAAATTTAAGGGCTTACTTAACAGAAGAATTTTCTTTTTAGTGTTCTCACATTCAGGTTAAAAGGATAATTCTCTCCAAAATGAGTATGTTCTCACACTCGGGTGGTTCCAAACCTTAATAGATTTCTTTATTCAGTTGATCTCAAAAGAAGATATTTTGAAGAATTTTGGAAATGGGTAGCTACTGACATCTATAGCGGGGGTGGGGGGGAACTACAGAAGGTGATGGAGACCGGTTTCCAACATTCGTTAAAATATCTGTGTTCAACTAAAGAAATAAAGTCCTACGGGTTTGGAAACAGTAGAGGAAATGATGACTTAATTTATATATATTTTTGGTGAACTATCCCTTTAATGAGTTATTGGCTCACAGTGTTATGTTTTTACACATTCAAATGACTGTTGGCATTAATACCAGTCCTATAAACATGAATCAAGTAATTATAATATTTGTATTAAAACATTTCAAATATAATTGTTTGTATTGAGGTTAAAAGTGGGAAATATTTGCATTGGTACCCCAACCCCCCCCCCCCCCACAATCCAAACCCCCACCCTTCACCCCCCACCCCCTCACATGGCTGGTCATGTCTGCTAAATATTTTTTTACTCTCTCACCAAAGGTGAAGTGTTTATGATGGTCACAGCCACTGATGCAGATGATAAAGATAATACTGACAATGCTGATATCCGTTATGCCATTATCAGCCAAGATCCACCATCTCCAAAACCAAACATGTTTGCAATCAATCCTGTAAGTGGGGGGATTTCTGTGCTTGAAACTGGCCTGGACAGAGAGGTGAGAAATGCTTTTTGATGAATCTTAGTAGCTGTTCAATTTTATGCAAGCAAGCTCATCAGTCATCTTCCTCTTTCAGCAATGGTCCAGATATACTTTGATTATTACGGCTGCTGACATGAATGGAGAGGGTTTGTCAACCACTGCCACAGTAGTTATTACTGTTTCAGAAGGCAATGGTATTGCACTTCAGTTTGAGAGAGGTTGGATTATTCCTCCAATCAATGTAGCTGAGAATAGCAAAGGTCCTTTTCCAATGAGGCTGGTCCAGGTCAGTGATTGTTAGGAACAAACTGCTGAAAATAAGGTGGATGATGAGAAGATTTGTCTGTTTTTATAATGTTTTTTTGCTTTCTGTATTTAGATAAGGTCAGATTTTGCTTCTGAACATCAGATTGCATACAAGATCACTGGTGAAGGGGCAGATCTGGAGCCTAAGGGGATTTTCCTCATAGAAAGACTATCAGGGTGGGTCAGTGTGACTCAGAAACTTGACAGAGAAACAAAAGCTTCATACAAAGTAAGTAACTTTTTGAACAATTAAACAACAAAATGAAAAGACTGAAAATAGGCTGTGCAAAAGTTTGTGTGGATTTCAAAACCTGTAGTCAAGTAATGTTAATTGATTACAACATAAAATTTATTTGAGTGACTGAGTGAACATTAACAATCCTAAAACAGGTGCAACCCATCATAATAAAGGATATTTAAGATATTTAAGATAGCTGATTGCTAGTTGTGCTTCTCCTTATTGGCCTTTTTCACGGACGCTAGCACGCACATCCGGTTGAGCAGTAATTGCGTATTCTTACTTCCGGCTGGAGCAATAGCGTCAGATACGCTATGGTTTTCACTACCTCTTTGAAAACTTTATCAAAAAGCTTTAGAGTGGTCACAGACAAACCACAGACAACCTCCAAAGAGCTCCAGGAACATTTTGCTGCTGATAATGTCATTGTAGATCGTGTCACAGTCCACCACACTCTTTACACAGAACAGCTCAATGGAAGATTCGCACTCTACAACATCAGAAAAGTCCGACCCTTCTTATCTAAACATGCAGCTCAACTCCTTGTTCAAGCTCTTGTTCTCTCCAGACTGGATTACTGCAACTCTCTACTAGCGGGGCTTCCAACTAACTCTATCAAGCCTTTCAGCTGCTCCAGAACGCAGCAGCACGAGTGGTCTTTAATGAACCTAAAAGAGCACATGCCACTTTGCTGCTCATCCGTTTGCACTGGCTGCCAGTTGATGCTCGCATCAAATTCAAAGCTCTGATGTTTGCCTACAAAGCAACCTCTGGCTTTGCTCCTTCTTATCTGCTCTCACTTCTGTAGATTTATGTGCCCTCCAGAAACTTGCGTTCAGTGAATGATCATCGCCTCGTGGTTCCATCCCAAAGAGGGAAGAAATCACTTTCCCGAACTCTCGCATTCAATCTGCCCAGTTGGTGGAATGAACTCCCTAACTGCATCAGAACGGCGGAGTCACTCGCTATTATTAAGAAACGACTAAAAACTCAACTTTAGTCTCCACTTCACTTCCAAATCTGCAATTGCCTCTCTGGCTATACCACAAACCACTAACTGTACTCAAAAAAATAAATAAAATAAAAAATTACTAATGCTTTCCTTCTTAGACTTTACATACCTGAAACTTGCCTATAGCACTTATTTATTGTTGCTCTTATAGTTGTGTAAATTGCTTCCTTGTCCTCATTTGTAAGTCGCTTTGGATTAAAGTGTCTGCTAAATGATTAAATGTAAATGTAAATGTAATGTGATGCAGAAGAAGACTTTTCTGCATTCTTCAAACAAGCAGAGTCGTTTGAGGTATGCAAAGGGTCATCTGGACAAGCCTGAATCATTTTGGAAAAATATACTGTGGACAGATGCCAAACTATAGGAGCTGTGCATGGCGAAAAAAGAATACAGCACTTCAGGAGAAGAATATCCTCCTTACTGTAAAATATGGTGGAGTGTCCATCATGCTGTGCAGATGTGTGGCAAGTACTGAAAACCTTGTCAGAGAATTCAGAGACTTGTTCTTGGCTATAAGAACTGTCTACAGGCTGTTCTTTCAGCAAAACATGGCTATACAAAAGATTGATGTTGTTATTCTGTTGGGGTGTCCAAATTTTGCACCTGTCTGTTTTTGTTATGTCTTAAATTGCATAGCATCTGTTGATTAAATAAAGGTTATGTCAGAACTGAAATGTTGCTTTTTCCCTAGGGTATAAAATATAATGAAATTACTGATTTGAAAGGCCAGCAGGCTATGGCTTGCAATAATGAAAATGATCAGGGGTGCCCAAACCTTTGCATAAGACATGATAATATATGAGCAATATCACATGAGTAGCAGTGAGATGTGACTGTATATTGGCACTGGTGGGAGGAATGCGTTGGCACAAGACTGTATGGCCAAGTGCCTTAGTGCCCCCACCAGTGACGATATACAGCCACATCGCAATGCTACGAGTGTGATATTGTGTTTATACAACAGTTCGTTGGTATTACTGTGTGTATACAGTGAGTCTCAAAAACCCTTTTGTGTATACACACACACACACACACAGTTGAAGTCAGAATTATTAGCCCGCCATTGAACATTTTTTTCTTTTTTAAATATTTCCAAATTATGTTTAACAAAGCAAGGACATTTTCACAGTATGTCTGATAGTATTTTTTCTTCTGGAGAAAGCCTTATTTGTATTGTTTTGGCTGGAAAAAAAGCTGTTTTTTTTTACTTTTTAAGGTCTAAATTATTAGCCTCTTTAAGCTATGTTTCATTTTTGATATTCTACAGAACAAACCGTTGTTATACAATAACTAGCTTAATTGCCCTAAGCTAGTTAACCTAACTAACCTAGTTAAGCCTTTAAATGTCACTTTAAGCTGTATAGAAGTGTCTTGAAAAATATTTGATAAAATATTATTTACTGTCATCATGGCAAAGATAAAATAAATCAGTTATTAGAAATAACTATTATGTTTGTAAATGTGTTTCTAAAAAAATAAACAGAGGGGTTAATAATTAGGGGGGGCAAAAAATTCTGACTTCAACTATATATATCTATATCGTTACACCCCTAATATATATATATATATATATATATATATATATATATTAGGGGTGTAACGATACACAAAAGGCACGGTTCGGTTCACGGTTTTGGAGCCACGGTTCGGTTCGGTACGGTTCGGTTTCTGTTTGCTGTGGGGTTAGGGTTGATGTCATGTTAACAGCAATGCTAAGGGACAATTCACTTAATAACAAGAACATCTTAACTTTCTCTTTATTAACTTTGTCACCGCATTTTTAGTACAGTCAGGATACCAGAGTAAACAACTAGAAGTAACTAAATACCTCCAATATAGACTAGTCAGAAAAAAAAAAACTATTCTCTTTAGTGCAGCCATCGTAACAAAGTAAACTAAAATTACATAAATAACTGCAGTGTAGACTAGTGAAAGATCTTCTTCAAAAACACCATAATATACACATTCTCCGATGAGAGGCTTGATCTCTGTGCTGACACAGACGCTCATTTTTAATTATATGGTTTCATTAAGATAGATAGGTTTCCGTTTAAATTAATGAAAAATATACATATACTGTGTTTGTAAAGTGTTTTTTCATGACATATTCACCAGTAAAATACATTGCGGTTGTGTCTGAAACTAATAATAGGGTTGTAGCCGGCTGTATGTTTGCCTCCCGATCTCTCTCTCTCTCTCCCGCTCCCTCTATGCCGGTCATTTATGTAGGTCCGCCTTCATGACAGCTGATGCCTGTCATTTCTGTAGGTCCGCCTTTTTGACAGCTGATTGGTCAGGAGACCGATCCATCATCATTTGGCGATGCATCGCGGGAATGTAAAAAGCATGTCAGGAAGAGCGGGAGAGAGAGCGCTTTTTCCTTTGATCTCGTTTTTCGTGTATTTTTCTGACATGATTATGATTTTCGTTGTTTTTGCTTAACTTTCGTTTGGGTAAAATTATTTTGCATTACTTTTGCCCACTTTAAGAAATTTTGTGAGGTTTGTACATTTTTATTTCAATTGATTTGTATATTATTTTTTAGCTCCGACAATCTAGCTCTATCTCCTCAAGTTCAGTCTTAGTGTAAGGTGGATAGGGAAAATGTCATACGATTTCCATTTTGCAAACACGTAGAAAATGTATTGTTAAAGACATCAGGTAAGAGGTGAAGGTCATCTTTGTTTATTTTAATCAGTATAGGGAAGAATGCGGCGCACAGCGCTGAAGACCTTTTTTTTTTTTCATCAGTTTTAGTGAGGTAAGAGGGGTTATTCATGAGTTAGAATTGTTTTATTATATTTATTTCTTTAGTTTGTCTTCACTATCACCCCCTTGCTCGAGTTTAACAAATTTTTGTTTGATACTTTTGTTTGAATTTGCTACTTTATTATATTATTTTTATTAGTGTAAATATTTCTCTTTTTTTGTATATTTGGGCATTATTCTGGTTTTACTTTTGTACATTAAATCACTTTTGTTGGCAGTTCTGTTGCTTACACCCTCACATTGTGAAATTACCACACTTTTTAAATGTTTTTCCTTACAAGTAAGTTTCGTGAAACAGTTGAGACAGGCAGGCGCTTTGTCTACGACACGAATTCTATTCCTGTACTCAACTGGAAAACCAAAATGTTTCCACATAGATGACTTAAATGTGTCTGGGGGATCTGCAATCTCAGTACTATGTGAAGCAGCCATCCTGTGTCCAGTAGTAACGAGTGTGATGCTTACTCAAGTCACATGACATAACATGCACTAAAATACTAACTTTAGAATATAATATTTAGAACAAATCCTCATCATTACTAAAACAATTTAATCAAATATGATATTAAAGATGTGTTTAAATTGGTTCAATTAGTTAGAGACAAGTGACGTCAACCTCAACAATGGGCAGCAGGGGGCGTGAGAGTACCGCGGTACGCCACGAGAGTTTCGCGATACGTATCGTGGTTGGTGTATCGCGATATTTCGGTTCGGTTTTAATATCGTTACACCCCTAATATATATATATATATATATATATATATATATATATATATATATATATATATATATATATATATATATATATATATATATATATAAGGTATTTTCACAAATAATAAACCTCTTAGTTATTACCCAAACTGCCAATGTTTTTTTTTTTTCTTATGTCTTTAGCTTGTGGCTCATGCAACTGGAGTGGATGTGAATATCGTAGAAAAGCCAATGGATGTTGTTGTAAATGTGATAGACCAAAATGATAATAAGCCAGTGTTCACTCAAAGTATTTTCAGTGGAAGTGTTCCTAAAGCTTTGGAAAAGGGTAGGTGTATCATACAATTTTTGGTTAAATTGTGAATTGCATATCTCAGATTTTTGGTTGGAAGTCTTTATATTTTGTACAATGTGCACATCAGAGAACCCTATTATAATATGTAAAAGAATACACAAGAAGTTGATTTCTTGGTTATGAGTAACATTGAATTTAAGGGTCATCTTGACAGAAGAATTCTGTTTTCAATGTTCCCACATTGCGGATTACAGGCATATTTTCCAGGGATAATTAAATTCAAATAAAATGTTCACATTCTCAGATGTAAACCTTAAACCTTAATGAGTTTCTTTCTTTAGTTGAGCTCAAAAAAGTTAGTGATATTTAGAAGAATGTTGGAAACAGGTAGCTACTTAAGTGGATCAGTGGTATTCAATACTGTGCTTCTTGTCTGGTGTGATACCCACTTTAAATTCTACAGTATCTCAATCAGTCAGTGGAGATCGCTGATCTTTAAAGAAATCAGATCTTAAACACGACGATTTGTATATGGTATGATAGTTAACCAGAAGTGCTTGGACTAGCTGACAGAAAATTAAGTCTGTGTGCATATACCCCATAGATTGATTAGTTCATTGCATATACCGCAGAGTATTATGTTTTATATGTAACACAATTATACCTAAAATCAAATAATTATAAAGTTTGTACTTTGTGTGGTCAAAGGAATGAAACAGCTGCATAAAGTACTGGTCCCCCCCATCTTTACATGGCTGGTCACAAGCCTGCTGTTTATTTGTTATTTTCTCATCAAAGGTGAAGTGTTCATGACGGTCACAGCCACTGATGCAGATGATAAAGAGAATACTGACAATGCTGATATCAGTTATGCCATTATCAGCCAAGATCCACCATCTCCAAAACCAAACATGTTTGCTATCAATCCTGTAAGTGGAGGGATTTCTGTGCTAGAAACTGGCATTGACAGAGAGGTGAGAAATGCTTTTTGATGAATCTCAGCAGTTGTTCAATTTTATGCAAGCAACCTCATCAGTCATTTTCCCCTTCCAGCAATGGTCCAGATATACTTTGGTTATTACGGCTACTGACATGAATGGAGAGGGTTTGTCAACCACTGCCACAGCAGTTATTACTGTTACTGACCCAGCCGTCTAGGGCGTCAGTACCACTGTAACGGTACTGTGTGTTACTCATATCTGCTCAGGCAATTGGTTGTGATGCCATACCTTAGTTAAACACATTTTATTTTTCCATTTAGCCTCTGAACAATGTTGAGAGTAAGCAGTGGCAACGTTTATATGTGTGTCGGTTTTTTGCCTACTTCAACTGCTACAGTCTTTGTGAATGTAGAAGACGTGAATGAGCTGCCTGAGTTTATTCCAAAGGTCATTTTCAATTGTGAATATTTACCAGCTGGCCTAGAACTGGTTTCTCGGTGAACAAGCTACTGATCCAGACACTGTAAAATCAGAAAAGTGCCTGCTTGCTTATTTGAATAAATGTAATTTCTTTGACTAATGCTCTGTCCTGCTATAATCACATATTTTTGTTTTGTTTATTAGAGACTAAATGCTGTCAAACTGCTTTTTATTAATAAAGATAAATGTAGAGCACCTGCCCTGACATTCTGTCTTCATTAATTCATTTATCAACATTTGCTCACACTGTTAAGAAGGAAAACAAGGGAGGAAATGCTTGTAGCATTGGAAAAACAAAAGTAAACATGCTTCTAAATGTTACTGGTTTGAGGAAGACAAAGAAAAATTGAATGTCAGATAAGAAAAAAGAAAAATACAAGATTTAAATCTTTTAAACTTTTGGATATTTTCTGGATTTTCAGGATTTGTATGTTATTTATATGAAGAGTTTGGTTGGAATACGCAATAAACCCCATTTTTTTGACATTTGAAGTAAAAAAATGCAGTGAAGTGCCCAGAATTTGCTCAGTAATGCAAGTAACGTTGGTCTGTGTCATACCGACAAATTGTCAGATGAAGACGTAGCTTTCAACTTCACAAAAAGGTATAAAAACTCTACAAAAGTGGACAAGGATAAAATAATCCTGCATCTGTCAGTCTCCGTTGATGTAAAGAAGAAGGCCAGGGAGGTTACCGTGAAATACTGCTTTTTTTCCTGCGCTCCTCCCCATCACAAGATACCTATCTGCAATGCTGCATTTCTTAGTATCCTTTGTAAGTTTATTCTTTAAATAATTTCTGTAAATATCGAATAAGAGGATAATCATTGTATAAAACACATGCACGCTCCCGTTTCCCTGTGCAAAATTGTGGCTGGAAACACAACTTATGTGATCGGTTCTCTTTCAAATAGACTAGACAAAAAGTTATGCTCAAGCACCCAACAGTCTTGCTGCTTTGAAAAGCTCCAGCACCGGTTGCTTTGACCATTCTTTGAACAGTATATTAATTGACCTAACATTAACCTTGTGCATGTGATCTTCCTTTCATTATCGCACAAGGTGTGTTTTTCACCTGCTTTCGTTTGCTTACAGTTATTTTTTGTTAATATGGTTTAATTATCATCCTTTAAAATAACATTGCTCTAATATGAAGATGAACTCCCTATTTATGTGTAGTTAACTGGTGATCTGGGACCTTTAGCCAGGCCAGACTACTGTGCATATTTTAGATACACTGTTAGACATTTCTGTAAATTACACAGTTATTTACTGTATTTCACCCAGTGTAATACTGCAAATTCCTTTTACGGTAAATAACTGTATTTACCGTTGCATTATGGGAATTTAGTGTGACGTCGAACAACATATACAGCGATGTACTGTATTTGTAAAAATTTGTGTATTATACTGTATTTTCCACAACTGCTTCAACGCCACCTTGCGGCGATTCGACTACTCTGCACCACATTTTGCCTGAGGACCCTGGAGCAATTCTGGAGGACAATTTATTAGTGTGCCTGAAGAACATACTGGATTTAACAAACTTTACTCTGGTAAGCTGAGGCAGTGTTTCATTTTACAGAATGTTTTGTGGACGAGAATAGAACAAAGTAAAGTATAAAGTTGGCTATTATTATTTTCTCTGGCTTGGCGTTATTTCGCCCATTTGAGAAATATATCATCTATTAAGATGTTACCTTTATTTAATTTATTACATTATACACTACTATTACTTTAAATAAGACTGTTTATGACTATTAGCCATTGTTCTCGTCATATCTTTTTATTTATTTACATAGGAACCGGTGTTGCAGCGGGTTTTGGTTTAGGAGGGAACCAGAGGTATGCAGACAGTTTTGGAGGACACTTAGAACGAGACAACGGTCCGGCAGAGAGTGTTTTCCCCCAGAAGAATATGAATGAAAGACCATCAAATAATCCAGGTAAAAGCGCGTCTGTCTGTGCTGACAACACTCGACATTGATTTGAGCACCTCTATTAGCAAAATGGTAATGTTAACTGTTAGCTAAACTGAGCTAAGTTTATACTGAATTGGACTCAAACTCATTTTAACGTGCAACGTTTAACTTATATTGATTAATACTATATATATTAGACGTTGTGAACTTATTTTTCTCTGGTTTAGAGTAACTTATAACGTTAGCTTGAGAAAATAACATCGCGACGTAACCTATAAGAAGGTTAACGTAAATCTATACAATATGCATAGAGGTAAAGTTGGTTTTATATTCGCACATTCGTTCATTTAGAAGACTCTATACTGTTTACCATGTTACTTTGAATATTCGATCAGAATTAGCATGCCAGTATGACTTGAAATCAACATTAACACTGTTTATTTGACCGTGAGCATGTTGTACTTTGATAGTCATTAGCTGCTAAAATGATTTCGCTATTTAGAGTTTGCAAATAATACTTTTATGAAATTAAATTATTAAGGGGGAAGTCTGAATCTGCTAATATAAAACCAATTTTACCTCTATGCATTATGCTAATAACCACATTTTTGCTATTTATTGTTTGCTAATTATTTTTTATCACAACTCTTGACATTTGGTTTAACATAATTGTTACCATTATATATTTTTTCTGTTTAGATATGGCACTGGCACAGCAGCAGGTTTTGTCTGAAGAAACAAACAGCAATTTGGAGGAACATCTTGATCAGCACAGCCTTATGCTTAAAAAATAAGCAAGACCAGTAAGCAACCAAGGTAAACAAATAAAAAAAAAAGTTGTGTGGAGGTTGTGGATTGTAGCATGGTATTCTTATCTGTATTTTTGGCTTTTTTGTGGTCTCAATATAGAATACTGGGAGCCTGCCTGTGCAAACTGGACCTCATACAACAGTAAGTACTGTACATCTATTTGTTTCTCAATATAGTAACGTTACTTTTAATACCAAATGTGTCACATGTTTAGTTGCTAGCTAAATAAAAAAAATCTTTTTCCCTTTTTTATTAAACTATTTAGTAGGGTTTTTTCATCTTTGTTTATAATATTTTTGAGCAGATTGAGGTCTGTCATGGGTCAGACATTTCAAAATACAATAATTAGTATTGGGATACATGCATTTGTCTATGTATTAAATGTCTTTTTCCCCATTTCATGTTGCCTAAATATTTTGTAATAAATAAAATAATACAAATTTTTGTATAAATAATTCCAGAGGATGAAACAAAATGCACAGCAACAACCAGAGTGAGCCAGAAGATAGCAGGAGAAGTAGTGAAGAGAATGACAACCATGAACAACAGTGAGTTATCCTTCTTTCACCAGCTAACTGAGAACTTGGATTAGGTGAGACACTCTCAATAATTGTATCAGTATTCAGTCTGTTTTAGTTTATTAGGAATACATAAAACAAATAGTCTAATCTGTCCTGCAGTGAATCAACCCATCACAAATGCTACAATGTTTTTGTAAAACCTTGTTAGGAAAAAATAAACAGGACATTCTGGTTAGTTATCTTTTAAACATGGTAGTGAGCAGGTTATGAGCAGGAGCCAGTTGCTCAGTACCAGCTGAAAACTAGCCCAACCTAGCTGCCATGCTTCAAAATAATTAACCAGTATATGATTTATTTTTTTTAAACAAGCTTCTTCTATGCTTATGTTAGTCTGTTTGTCCTTATCCAGAGTTCTTCATAATCCGGGACTGGGCCAAATCCTGACCAGATGCTGTGGTGGTCATGGAGGAGTGAATCCTAAAAGACACACGTGATCAATGAGTTTCCGCATTGATCCAATGGGCCAGCCTGACCACCCGCTGGTGAACTTTCAAGCCTCCGGTGCCTAGACTGCGGCCTTGCACAAGTTTGGCTAGAGGAGAACTGGTCGTGCCCAACTGAGCCTGGTATCTCTCAAGGGATTTTATTCTACACTTTTGTCAGTTGGTGAAGTTTGTTCCATGCCACTGTCGCCACTGGATCGCTTGGCTACGATTGGTGGATCGGTGGATTTGCTCTTCAGTGTTTGGACTTTCAGCAGTGACATTTACTGCTTCAATTCTGAAAACTGGACTGAAGCAGCTTCAATTTACAAGAACTTCTATGTTAAGCTGCTTTGACATCATTGATCTACATCGTAAAAGTGGAATAGAAATAAAGATGAATTGCATTTGAACATGTGAATTCAGACCTTGTTGAGCATTTGACACCAGAACTAGTAATATTTTAAAGTTGGGTTGTTTCTGAGTCGGCTAATAGTTACAAATATTTATTTTTCCAACAATATGCAATTCAGAAGTTTAAATTTTTATTGTACATGTATGTTCTAGTGCTTTGTGTGATTGATTTATTTTTAATGTGTTGATTTTATTGCTTAATGTAATTTTCACACATTTTCCTTAAATGCTTTAAGCATTATTAATGTTTTAAAGAATGGAATATTTTGTAATTGTGTCTGGTTTAATGTCAGTAGTACTTAGTACAATTGGGGTTTTTTTTTCTCAACAATATGCAGGTCAGACACTTAAATTAGTTTTGTACATGTATGTTAATGTGCTTTGTCATTTTCAATGTTTTTTTTCTTAAAATAAAATATTTTGAATGATTGAAATGTAATGTTTTTACACATTTTTAAGCTTGGGTTAAGCATCTCCAATGTTTTAAATAAAGAGTGTTTATTTTGTTAATATTTTGTAATTGTGTCTTTTTTAGGTCTATAGTATTAAAATAATATTAATAAAATTATATTCTAAAATATTTAGGACAAAATTAAAAGGTTTACAGTAGCTAACTGTTAACTTAGGTTTTTACAGTAGTTAACCATTTTCAGACACTACGGTAACATGCTGTAAACGGATTTACAGTTGTATACTGTAAATCTAAAATACAGTAACTTACTGGCAACAGTGTTGCCAGTAAGTTACTGTAAAAACCCTTTGAAATGTCTAACAGTGTACATGACAATAATTATTTTTTAAATGTCAATTTTTTTTTTTTTAAGACATGTTTAGTTAAATAAAAAGTATAGTTTGCAGCTGTATTTTGCTTGCTTTGACACATATACAAATTATGGCAAAAAAATATTAATTGTTTATGTTTGGTGTGGTCAGAGATAAATTTGGTAAATCCTTTATTTTGAGCTCTGGTGAGGGATGTGAAATAAAAACTAATTGTATTATGACACTATGAAACCATGACCCATTTGCTCATGCTCCCAGACCAAGCTCAT